ATGTTGAACATATACCAGCTCGCATCCCGCGCATGGACTGCACGTCCGCCCAATCGGACTGAAACTGTTGGAGAATACTGGAGCAGGTGTTGCATCAGTGTCGACGTCGTTTCTTGCCCTGTCAGGAAGTAGACTTTGAGGAGTCCTATCCTGTCTAATGTATCGACGCAATTTTCGGTTCAATACCCACGTAGTGCCGGAGCCTGATCCGGTTGTTGGCGGCTTTGGATGACTGTTTGCTGGGAATCAAGCACCTGGGCTGTGAAAGAAGCGAACCTGGCAGTCTCAAGGGGCTCGGCCAGTAAGCTGGTGTATCTTGAAGCCGGTCTTGGAAATCCTGATTTGTTTTCCCTTGCTGGAAATACCCCCATCCTTGCCTTCAACCTTGGCACACTGTAATCTGCCGTCCCTGTCCTCCTCTTATGAAGGCTCACAAGGACTTGTTCTTCCGTGACGCCTCCACTTTCAAGGGTGGCTGGACTCAACCTTTTGAAGAATAGATGTCCGCGAAGCGAACACGATTTTGCTCTCACATGCAACGGTAGATTTTGCCACTACAAGCTGGTCGAATCAGCTCTTTGAACTGACCGAACAAGCGGCGACGATTGCAGTACTTAGGTGCGCTGCAGGCTGTCTTCTGCGTAATTGCAACTCTTGTGAGGATTGCCACTTTCGGCAGTGCACTGTTGAATGTGAGGCCGTGTCTCTGCGCTGTTGTAGTTTGCCAGCCTGCTCCGCCTTGATATGACCCCTTCCGAAAAAGTTAACTCGTACGTGCTATGTTTCTGTTGGATTGCCACGACCGTTTTAACTTCATCGGATCAGAAGGGAGAAGCGAAACGCGATAACAACCTTTCGTAAGGTCGGCAATGGCAGTGACGTCAAACCTCCCTGGCCCGTTCTGCCAGCACTCTCTAGTCTGAAACCGATCGCCAGCCGGACGTGCAGCTTGTGTCAGGACTTTGTTTGCTGAACGCGTGGCATCCTTGGCACAGTAGGTCTCTGTCACCCGAATTTGATTATAACGAACGCATATCGACCACGTCAATCCTTTGTCTTAAAGCAGGAGTAATCTATCCATATCCCATGGCAATGACGACAGTATGGTGTGGCCGTAATGTCCTTGCCACCTGCTCGCTCTTGATTGCCACGTGTTGAAAGTCTGAGCCGTAATGGAGAACGTGAGCCGTGTCAAACTGAGAAGGAGCCAATCAAAATATGGGGTCTTCAGATTTCACACGTTGAGCAAGATTACCCTAGGTCGCCTTCCCGAATCCAATAAAGCATCCAAGGAATTGAGTGTCTAAGGCTAGGTACCTGCGGTATCGAGGACTCATTTTGAGACTTTTGCTTGTCTTACAGTCTGCCCTCGTCCGAGTTCGTCTGCTGCCCTCATCTTGTGTTGGAAGTGCTGACGGCCCTTTCATTATCCGTGGATGGCCTGCACCTTTTCCGAGTAGAGAGCTCGCAGTTCTTTTTCAATCGTAGAGTATGCAGGATTTGAGTGGGAATCCAAAGCGCTTTCTCTGCCAAGGACGCACTTAGGCCTGGCGGTGCCGCCAGAAAGCTCATTCCGCCACGGGTGGCACTCCGTCTCATCTGCCCCCTACGATAGGAGGCTGCATAGAGCTGATGCGCTGACTCGAAACAGTGCGCTATGAGATGAGCGGCAACCAGAACCCCATATTTTTAATATGCTTCCCTTTGCTGTCCATTGCGGCAACTTGGCGAGATGCGAGATGGTAGTTCCTTTTGGAGCTCTTCACGTTGAGTTCGCACTCACTTGAACGTCTCCTGACCGCTTTTTGGCATGTTAACCAACGCTCACCCTGACGTTGCCTTCTGCTCCTTTTGCAGGTAAGACTGCCTCCGTTTGCGCGTTTGCCTTGCGGCCGGTCCGTCCAACGACGACACCCGTTGCAGTTTTGTGACTTGGGGGGCTGTCAGCGCAATTCGTGTCCATTTTGCGTCGAACCTGCCATTCTGCAATCGCTGGTTTTGCGGGCTTCTTACAGGAGCAGGATTTTTGAAGCCTTACGTTGTAACCCTGGTTTCCTGCAAACCCGAAACGCACGCCCGTCGTTTGAAGCTAAGAAGTCGATTCACCTGTGGGTGGAGTCATTTCAAAGAGATGCAAGGCACTGGTTCGAAATTTCTGAGGTCTGGCACTCTGATGCTCTCTGATCTCTTCTGGTCTGAAACAAGGTTGAGATGGTAATGACGAGACATCCCATTGTTGGCGTCCAGCAACGGTGAGGACATGCCTCCGACGCCAATCAATGTCCTCGAGAGGTGTACCTTGTTTCAGTTATCCGTTTTCAAGGTCTAGAGCTACCTTGCAAGAGGGTCTTAGTGCGTCCAAACCTTTCGACCTTTTATCAATTCCTGTCTGCTTAGTTTGTACAAAGATGCCAGGAGCCCCTTTTTGTTTCTTACGACGCATTCCGACTCATCTTTGCTACTGGATGACAAATAAGTGCTATCAGTGGACTGAGCATGCTAGTGGCAAGCCTCGAGTGAGGTTTCTGGTTAAGCCGTGGAATGCTTCTACGATAGAGCAACTCCTGTGGCCAAAGTGCTACTTTTGTAACAGATATCCTTTTTTGTAAGTTTGGGTATGCAGACTTGGCCGTGAATGGAATAAGCAGTGCATCTGGCTGACAGTATCTTGCCACTGCCACTGGTCCATGACCGCCAAGAGTGATCCACTGTTTGCCGTCCGAAGTCAGACTCGAGCGCTCAAACTCCTGCAGTAATAGAATGCCAGATGGTCATACCGGTGATGCAAAAACAACGACGTTGCTGATTTTTGTTGCTAAGATTGTCTCAACCTCCTGCGGCTATGTTGACGAGGCCTTTGGCGGGCTCACCGCGTCCTTTCGAACGACCGGGACTGCTGTCGCCACTTGCATTGGTCATCGCCAGAGCCGCTCTTTTCGCACGCTTGAGATTCCGGTGGACTTTGCCATCAAAACCGATGTGCTGACAGCACTCTGTTTTTGCTGTTTCTGTTTGGGCTCACGTCTCATGCTGATGCCTTTCACTGGCCGTGATGACCATTGACAGGGTAGCCATTGCTGCCACTGGGATTTGTCTGCTGTGACCGCCAGTTTCCGCAAGTTCCTGGACCATGGGTTACGCACGGCAATGCAGCCGCCCTGCCGCTTTGCGTTCTCTAGCCGTTTGTTTGCCTTTTCCCTCGCGCTTTCCGTCCCTTAACTGCAAAACTGATTGACTTTGCCTTGAGCGGCACAGACCGTTACGCTTCCTGGTACCAAAGAAACCGATGTTTGTGTCACAAGACTCGTTCTCCATTTTGCTACGCCAATGTCAACCACAACAAGTTTCTTTGAACCGCCAGAGCCCACGCTCCTGATCTTTTGTATAACCACCTCGATACCTACGATTTTCCGGTGGTAGACAACTGGTGACCCTAGGGCGCCTTCTAGTCGTTGCAACCTTGAGGAGAGTGCGTCTCTTCTGGCTTTAAAGGAGCACGACACGAATGCTGAAAAAACCACCTTGAATTTCCTGATCTGGTCTTATCGATCTATAAGCTCTGCTTAAGGTCTGGGCTTCGACAATCTGCGTCGCAGTGGGCATCTCGTTCTTTGGGGTTTGGCTGCATTAAGTTTACAGACTTGAGATCCCCGGGGTCGTGACATCAGCATGTCAGGCAGCGTGGATCTCCCCCCGAGTTCTTCATCAGTTCTTTTACGACTTGATTAGGCGGCTTGACCTTATCTAGGCCGCTTCCTGGTCCTGTAGAGACCATCTATTAATCAATCTTTTGATTCATAGCAGATAGTGCTTCTGGCGCGAACGAGTTGTTTCGTTTAATGTCAAGCCCCGCAATGCGGCAATGATGATATGCGATGCGCTGGGCGCCAACGAGCCCAACCTTCAGGAGGAGCACGGACTGCCACCGAACCTGCCCACATTCTCGAAACAACGCGAACGACTATAATCGCAACTTGGTGTTGCTCCATTTTCCTCAATAGCCAGGTTGGCCGTCCGAACTCGTGACGTGGTTTTTCAAGGGGACGCGGTCATGAACGAGGTGCCAACGCTTGGAAATCATTGCACGCTGGTAATTTACTGACTCAGGTTACAAGTCACGTCTCCGCCTGCGCGCTTCGGCCATTCCTTCGTTTTGAAGTTCCGCCAAACCACGCAGAGTTGCGTTCGGTCTCGAGCCCAGGACGTCTGAAAGTGTTGGTAGGTGCTGCGGTCTTGTGAGTCCTTTCTGGTTGTAAAACGAGCAATGATTGGAGTTGTGTTTGACCGAAGCGGTCAGCTAATCTTGCGGAATACCAAATGAAGCTTGGCCTCGGAGCTGCCGTTCTTTCAACAGAACCCCTTGCCGCCTAGCCGACTGTTCCTGAACGCCTTTCGCACCCTCCTACACAACCAAATGTGGTGTTTTCCGCCCGTTATCACACACAGAGAGTGTTTCTTCCCTTCCCTTTTGTGGTCGTTCCAGGAAGAGTCCAAGCTCACGTCGAAGCCGATTTGACCTTCTAGTGAGCAACATAATGACCGTCGTCTCTGAGAAGCTCATCAGGGTTAAGGTCTTTCAGCGCTGAGGACAAGGCTCCTTGCATTGCTTTGAGTCTGCGCTACCGAACGTTTTCGACATAAGTATTTTGTCCACTAAGGAACACCGATTTGGCGGGAGCGAAGCGATGCGGGCACTCGACCTTGAAATCCGCCCCATTTGTGTGGCGGCGTTCCGATGCTAAGGGGATACACTGACCAAATCAGACGTCAAATATGTAACTTTTCTGAAGCTTGATGGTGGTCGCGTTGTTCCGACTCAAGCCTGCTTCTCCTTTCTGCCATGCCCGCAAACAGCTGGCCATGAGATGTAATCTTTGGCAATGTCGCACATTTCGCCGAAGTGGACCGTTTGCGACGCCATGCATGCAAGTCTTGTATGCGATTGTTCGGTCATTGAGGCCTAGATTCGAGTGAGGAGGACTTTGTCACAGATCGCGGCGATGATGACGCGGCGTTTGGTGAGCATGCCAAGTTGTGGTTGCTCAGAGCCGCCGACGGTGCAGTGAAGCCGCGTCGGATGTAGCCCCCCTTTTCAGGTCTCTACCGTCGATCTGTCCCGTAAGCTGTGGGTGGCGACGATGACCACCGCCCGTGGAAGCTTTGCTGCCGATAGGGTTTCTTTCGGATTGCCATCTTTCACCTTCTTCTCGGATCTTCGTTCCCAAAGCACAATAGCTGGCTGTGGAACCGTCTTCGTCGGAAGCTTCTGTCGCACCATTTCTTCCAAGCCTCTCGTCTAGGTAGTCTACAAGTCGTGAGAAAAATGCGCAATCCTCCTTAGAGCCACCATATCCTGGATTGCGAAACTCATGATGTGCTAAAGACGAGACAACCTTTTCCGGCTGCCAGTGCGGGATAGAGCCGTGCTTCATAGGTCATTTTTCCGATCAATATTGCAACTTCCCCTCGGCCGTCTGCTTACTAATCTAATGTGGTTGTCATCCACTCTGCGAAACTGCGTTCAATTCGGCGATGCCTGGAAGATTGCCAACTGTGAATCTCTTTCTGCAGCACGTTTGAGCAAACTGCGTCCGGTTGGGGTTTCGTAGGCAATGATACCCGTCCGTGACCTGAAGAAGTCAGGGCAGGGTCTAAAAGTGCTGATTGCCGCGAAGCTCTGTTAAGGCCAGAGTCCTGTGTTCAGTCCGGTAGTTTCTCAAAGACGCTCGGTGATAGTCACTGGGCTTCTGGTAAACAGAAGCTTTGCCTCCGAACGCCGAATGATGACGTCGTGCTTCAGACGCTAGCAGTGTTTCCCAAGCTTTCACGACCCGCCCTTAGAGTTGGAATGCACCTCGAATGGAAATTGACGCAAACAGGTCCCGGTTAGGCACTAGTGGTCGCTTAAAGTAATCTGATTTGGAGGTTGTTTGCCGCATACTGAACTAAATTGATTTCCTGCATTGGCAGCCGAAGCTCGATAACATATATCTCCGTTGGGCAGCCCTTTAACGCTTCATCAGATATGCTCGACGGCACCTTGACCAATTGAGAGCAGACGGGGTCCCAAGGTCATCCACGGAGTTTTAGGTTAAACTGATGGAAGACCCTTCCAGTTAATTGCAAAAAAAGAAACGCTTTCGAGAAAGGTCAGCCAAACAACCTCTTTACTCCTACGCCGAGGGGGCTTCTTCGCTTCCAAAACGAGGAGCGTTGGCCTCACCTTGTATCCAAGCAAAGTGAAACCGCAGTCCTGACACCTGAAACCCCTTCTCGCAGTTGGCCGCTGCGTGCGCAGTCAAGCGCCGCCAGGCCTTTGAGTCCGCCCTCTCCATCGCCCAGGCGTTTGGCGACCTGGAACAGGAGGACGTGCTCTCAGGGGTCGCCGAGAAGATCGGCCCTCCGCTGTACATCGGCCAAGCGCCCCGGATTCTGAACCGCGGGTTAACGCCGGAAACTCAGCGCCCAACGGAGGCGGAGTTCGTGCGTCATGCGCTGCTCCAGGAGCGCCACGTGGCGCACTCTCAGCTAGCCATTGCGCTGCTGACGCGCGCGCACGACCAGTATAAGCGGATGCCGCATGCGGGGCGGATCATTTACCAGGTGGGTTAGTAGCGGATCAAGTAGCGGGTTCGTATCAGGTTCAGGCGTCTCCGTCTTTGGGTGTCGCTTTTACTTGTCTGTGCGTTGATTTGTGCCGTCAAGAGGAACTTTCCAGACTCGCTGCTTTGGCTGCAAGCGGTTCGGTATCATCGCTTGATCAAGGTGTGCTCAAGGACGCAATCCGAGTACCCTAAGTCCATTTGAGTTTTACAGAGGCAACCAGTAGTGCAGTATAAGAAGTTGCTGCGTTTTGAAGCCACTCTGATTTATCGTCAAGCTGAAGCAACGAACTTTTTTGGGGCTGTCGGAACCGTTGCCCAGTGATCATTGCGCCACCTTAAGGGACCGTCAAGTGCGTCACCCCAGGGCTGGACAGTCGTACGTGAGGGCTGTTTCCGTTGTTCTGCTTGCGTGGGCTGTCAAGGTTGCTCCACCGCGGTCTTGCGTTGTCCAGAATAGAAAGGCATCCGACGGGATCGATAGGGGCAACTTTCGGTTGCTCACCTTCGCAAACCTCTTCTTCTCCGGTCGTCGTTCGTATCAAAGGTTGCAGACGTTCTGCCCTCCCCTCTTGTTCGTTTTTTGCCTGATGGTCTCTTGCGCACTGCATGAGCTACATCTTGCATAGTGAGGTGATCCTTTTACCAAAATAACCTTTTATAGCGCTAAAGTTTTGTCCTTGTGCTGAACAACATTCAGTTGGTCAGAATCTGTGGTGGCCGGAAGCATCCAATCGTCCTCGAAGACATCAGTAGAGCCTTTCCTCAGTCGCTTTCTGAATTTAGTCGCACTTGTCAGCAACAGTTCACAGCCTGCGACTCTCTGAACCAATCTATCCCCTGCAAACGAAGAGAGCCATGAAAAGGACGGGCGCAACATCAAATCTCGCCACCTCAAAAGTCCAGACTTGTGCAATTGGGTTTTTTCCAATTTGACGTCCCGGAACCCGGTCTCTGCTTAAACGCTGAACCTCTGAAACCCGTTTTCTCTTCAGCTTGGGGGCGAGATGGCCGATGAGTATCTGCACGCCAACGACCTCTCCAATGCGCGCCGCCTCTATGACAGTGTCGCGGCCGTCTACCGCAAGGAGTCGTGGGCGCTTCTTTTGGCCGCCACGCTCGAGCGGCTTCGCGAGTGCACCCGCCAAGGGGGGCTCGTCCAGGCGTTCGTCGAGTACTCGCTCGAGCTTGCGTCTCTTCCCCTGAACGGCGGTAATGGTGGCGGCAACGGTTACGAAAGCACAAGCTGGGACGGGGGCAAGGGGATCGAGCTCCGGAAGCACGCGCAAGGGGAGGCGATGGCGATCCTGGCGGGGAGCGGGCTCAAACTAGATCGGATTGATTCGGGCGTGGAGGAAGAGGAGGCGGAAAAGAAGCCGGCGGAGGCGTTAGCTATTGATCCCGCCGCTCCCGTGCTGCTCTCGTTCGCCGACGCGTCTCCGTTACGAACCGTCCTCTCGTGTACTGCGCTTTTTGAGCAGAGAAGTGCGCAGCCCGGAACGCCGACGAAGCTGACAGTCGCCCTCTTGTCTCGACTTCCGTCCGCATTGAGCCCAACTTCGATTGAAGTGGTTTTCAGTGACCCGGCGTGCAACGTCACCCTCACGTCATCCCAGCCCGTGGTCAACCTGATGGACGACACGTCAGCAGCGCCCACTAAAGAGAGCGTGCGGAGTCCAGAAGAGCTGACGCTGAATTCTCTAGAGTGGCGGAAGCTCTCAGTAGACGTAACACCCAAGACGAGTGGGCGCCTTGAGTGCCAGGCGGTCATCCTAACCCTCGGCGCTAACTCGCGGTTACGGTGCCAGGTCGAGTCCCTAGTCGGTGGCGAGATACTAGTGCCCTTCTGGATGTACGAGCCCCGAGGCGAGGGATCCCCGAAACCGGTGATTCCGCTCGGAGGTTTGCACGTTTTGGAGGTCGGAGAGGCGCCGGCCGACGTCGACGTGCAGGTGGAGTTTGGCGGAGAACCCGGGTTAGTGGGAGAGGTTTTGCCGGTGCGGATTTTGGTTTCGTCCCGGGGGGATAAAGTGTCGGGCGGCAAGCTGAGTTTGGAGCCGGAGAGCCTGGCGCCCAAACCCCCCGCCGCAGTTTCGGACGCTTCGCTCGTCGATCTGGGGTCCGAAGTCCCCGTCGTTGAGGTGCTTCCGGCGGAGCTTCTGGTGAACAAGGGCTCCGAAGGGGCGGAACGGGAATCGGCTGACGTCACGGCCGCAGGTGCAGCGGATATGGCGACGAGCGGAACGGAAACGGCGGAGTCGAGCGGGAGTGGCGCGTACGAGAAGTTCTCGGGACAGCTGGCGGTCCCGGAGATCGATGCGGGCGGGGAGTGGGCTGCAGTGGTGTTTCTGCGGTGGGCACAGGCGGCGGATGCGGGGCTTGCGGTGACCGTAAGCTATGAGGCGGAGAAGGGCGGCGGGGCCCCCCGAAAGTCGAAGGTGAGGGATCCTGCTTCTACTCTGTCATTGCTTATGTAGCAACCGGCTGCCTCGAGAACTTGAAATGGTCTGGAAGGTGGTCAACAAACTACCTAGCGGGTTCTTCGGTATGAACCCACGGTATGATACGAGGGGGCGCCATTTCACAATGAAATGGATCCGAACAGAGAAGGCCCCGGTGCTTGCCTCATGGTCGCGTTTACAGCTTTTCTGGACCAATGCAAGGAAAATCGAGTGGGTGCCAGAAATGCCAGTTAGATCTGCAACGGTCCAGTGCCCTCCAGCAATGTCCCTGAGAAAGCGACTTTCTGGCATCTGCTGCTAACTGTGGCTCCGACGCGACCTGCGACTTCTTGCCTACCCGCAATGCAGACAAGAAACCACTGGCAATGTTTACTCAGCACAGAACTTGGACCCGGAGGACTTGACTTAAAAAGCAGCCGACCCTCAACTCGGTCTAGCAGACTTTTTTGCGTGCTCGCCAACTGGCCCGCATGGGAGTAAGACCGAGGTCTAACTTTAGGGTAAATCCCCAACATTCTGAAGTCCTAAAGCATTCCAAATCGACGACGCAGGTGCGAAAGGTCGTGCCAATGCGTGGGGAAGAACCCCTCTCCGTGTCGCACCGCTGGTTCGCCCCGTTCCGGAAGGATGCGCTTCTCCCCTCCCCCTCGACAGCGTCCGCAAAGCTGCCCCTCAACGAGGAAGTGCTGCTCTCCGTTTCCGTCCGGAGCAGCTCGTCCGTTCCGGTCCGAGTCAGCGGACTGGCGCTGCGGATGGAACAAAACCTGGCGGAAGAAGTTGGAACCGCGGGGCAATCTAGCCAGGCGGACCTCCTAGCGGATTCTGCGGAGGGCAAAGAGAACGGGGTTCGGGATCTGGGGCCCGGCGAGGCGTTTTCGAAGCTCTTCCGAGTGCGTCCTTTGCAACCGGGGGAGTCGGTCTCGTTGGGCGTGCTCGAGGTGACGTGGCAGAGGCACGTGGAAGTGCCAGCTGGCACGTGGGACACCCACCCCGCCCCAGTAGTGTCCGTTCTTCCGCTTGCTCCGGTGTCCGTTGAGGGCTCGCACGTCCTCGTGGAAACGGAATTGCCCGCCTGCGCAACTCTGGGGAAGCCGTTCAGCGTCGCGGTGAGGATAACCAATGCGACGGAACTGCTGCAAGAGGTTGCTTTTAGTGTGACGGACTCCCCCAGCTTCGTTCTCGGCGGGAGTCACAACGGCCAGATGATTGTCCTGCCCCGTTCGGTGAAAGCGCTTTTGTACGAGCTCGTTCCGATCCAGGCGGGGCTCTTGACGCTCCCTCAGATAAAGTTCAGTACTGTTCGGCACGGCGCGAAGTTAAATCCAACGCAAGGCAACGCAAAGATTTTCGTTTACCCCTCTTCGACAACAGAGGGCAGTGGACAAAACGCTGTTGGCAACGGCGTTTCTGTTGAAGTCAGATAGTCGACTCTCAGATAAGTGGTTAAGTGCAGTCCGGAGACTGGTCTGTGGGCGGAAAGCATTACTACGTGTCTGCATTTTATTTGCGTCTAATTCATCTCATCTAGGTTGTGTCCAGTCTTATATAAATCTTTGGCGCGATTGCTTCGATAACTACGTATACATGCAGGCCGCCTTGTCGCCTTGCCCGGCAGTCCGCTTGGCCCTTAGCATCACATCTATGCGCTTGCATGTCGCGGGCAGCAGTGGTTTGTAGAAATTGCTCGGTGCAGATCGCCGCTTTCAGAAGCTCTGCATGGCGTTGTAAGATGGCGGCCACCTTAACTTAGTCTGGATCGAACACCAAAAGACTCTCTTATAATACCGGTATACGCGCCTCTTTTCGGGTGACTGCCATTGTGGGGTCCTCAGCTGTCGGCAAGTATATACAGGGCCAAGTACGTCAAGCATGACACAATGATGCTGTGAATGGTATATACATGCATCGGGCCCGGCAATGCCTGGCATGCGCGACTGAGCTCAACGTCGACGTGGAACGTACTTAAAGTGGGCGTCGGATTTCAGTAAGCACACTAGTGAGACTGAGTCATGAGGGCGGGTTGTAGAGGCTAGCTGTGGGCCGTCCGATAGATGCAACTCAGCTGTTAGCACCGTCCATTTTCCATATGAGCTCGCGAGCCCTACGCCCACTTTAAACGTGGTGCCGCCAGACACTGCAGAGTTGTGGACGTCGGCGGGCGGCCGCTTGGCGGCCGCGTGCGTGTGACCGAGTGCAGGCCTACTGCCTGCTTACGTCATGCATGGTCTACCAACATGCTCCACGGTACGGTACCGTACAGAATCGGTACTTATATGTCTACCGGCAACGGCCAATATCATGCTGCCACTTGGACATTTAATTTGGCGCGCTGGTCAACTGGCTAAATTTGCGTACGATCTACGAATCTTGCGGGAAAGGCGTTTGCTGCCGAAGAGGAGTGGGCGTCGGATTTCAAAGCCGGGAAATGCACACTAGTGAGTCTGAGTCCTGAGGAGAGCCTCGAGAAGGCCAACTCTGCGCCGTCCGATAGATTCAACTCGGAAGTTAAACCGTCCGATGTCCAGGTGCACTCGCGAGTGCAGACGCCCACTTTTTTATGACGGACTAGTTTAGATAAAATAAGAGCCAGGTATAATAAGCTCCAACTAACACTAAAAACCCTAACCCAACAATCTACCTGCTCCGCACCCGTACCCACCCTAACCCCCAAATTAACCCCACCCGTCCCAGGCTGGCGAGCTTATTATACCTGCAGGGGACCGCAGAACTTCGCGATGGACGAAATCGCAGCGCTACCGTCCGATCTGAAAATAAGGACTCCAGTCTGCCAAGTTTAGCTAGGGGGTCGCCAACTTGGGCAGGACAGGTTCCGATACTAGGGTTTGGACCAACCGGGTCTAACTAAGAATAAACGAAAGATCTTGAGCGTTCATTTTTTGACGTCAAAATCTGGACGGTAGCGCTGCAATTCTTGGTCGTCCCCCAGCTATTCTGCGGTTCTGCGGTCCGCCTGCCTGCCGCTTATTATTCCTATTAGTCCGGACTCCGAGTTCACTTTAACGCTTTCCGACGTGCAAGTGTGCAATGATTCCAGTGAAGCTAGTAAAGTGGCCACGTTTAACCCGCAAAAGGTACTCATACCGTACCAACACGCCGGTTGGGCAGATTTTTGCCCAATAATTAATTACGTACGATTTGAAAATTGAGCAACTCATTTTGGAATTTTTGAGAAATTGAAATTTTGGAATATATGCTCAGAAATCCTTTTTCCAGCAGCCAAAAATGATCAAAGATCAAATATTGGAATTTTGATTCATTTGAAAATTTGGGCAGAATGAAAAAAGGAATATAAATAGTATTGAAAATTTTGGGCAAAATCGAAAATAATTAATTGATGCCCAACCGGCGTGTTGGTATGGTATACTGGCAACGCTCGCTTGCACTAAGAGCCGCTTGCACTAAGATACGAAGCTCCCGGGCACCCAAACTAAAAACCCTAACACAACAAACAACACGCTCCGCACCCGTACCCACCCTAACCCCCAGACTAACCCCACCCGTCCCCCGGGTGCCTATCTTAGTGCAAGCTGCTCTTAGTGCAAGCTAGCGTTGCCGGAGTGGTACTCATTCCTCTGGCGGCCTGGTCGTGACGAATTTAGGAGCCCCATTTCAGATTTCCTTTGTGAAACTCTCCATCTGACGGCTGGTTCGCTTTCAAACCCTCCATCCGACGGCAGTAAGAGCGCACGCTACTTTCGGGACCAGTAAATGAACGTGTATCTTTCGCGAAATCTTCGTTCTGGCAGGAAGTGCTCCTTGATTTGCGCCTTGTGTGTACATCCCCATGTGACAGTCAGAGTCGTCATGCACTTGGCCAGATTGAGCGCCATGCAAATTGGGGCTGTTCAAGACTTCGTTGAGCAAGCCTCCTCCTGTGGGAAGAGGCCATCCGTCTCGAACTTTAAGCAAGCTGCACATGTACAGGACAAAGCTTCTCCTTTGTTCTCAGGCTTGTGTGACGAGCCGCTCATTTGAGCTTTTGGAAGAGAAGCAGAATTGTGCAGAGCGCTTAGGAGTGACCGACTTGTCGACGGGCGTGCGAGGGTCCTGTCAAGGGTTACCCATTACAGACAATACCTGACACTGCCCTTGGACGTTTTTGAAGAAAAAGAGGGACAACCTGCAGGTTCCAGTTGCTTTCAAGGTCACAGCGATCAACAGTACAGTCAACTGAGTATACAGAAGCGAGCTGAGAGATACACATATTTGGTGATCTGCCAGTGCAATCAGGAAGTTGTGCGGAAGCCAACATCCTTGTTTCTAGGTTTTATCAAGGGCCTGCAGTTGTGTTGCCAAAAAAATGGGGCATCGGGTCGCCAGTGCTTGGCGGGATAGTTTGCAGCAAGAATGGACGATGAAAGCTTTGCTTGTCATTGTGTTTGCACTTCTCATGTCAGGTAAGAAGTCTGCTCGACTGCCTAGTGAGCCATAGTTGGATGATGCTGGGTCCACAATTCAATCTGGCACGTCCCAACTTATTGTTTGTCGGTTCTTTTATGAACAGTGGAAGCGCCGTCTGCAGCCATATTGGTCGTGGCTTATTCTCACACAAGCCAGAGTGTACAAAGTTGCAAACTTTGCAATTTGGTGATACACAGAAACAAAGCTTATTGCAACTGCAATTCTCCTTTCTCCGCACAAGTGTACAATTCTAGTTACGGTATGACTGGGAATGTTGGGACTCAATCTTGCCAAGAACTGGGGGAAACATTCTTTAAGGTTTCTTTCACAAAGAAGGCCACGGGCTTTAGTCAAGCCCGTGGAAAACCGTAGAACTTTGCTCAAAGTTAAAACTACTCCGTTGGGATGGTCAATATCTCTTGGTTTGGACCTTGGGCTTCGGATACCTACTGCTAGCTCAATGCCCTGGCTGACGTTCGAAAAGTGCCCCTTCTGGTAGCTGTTGGTGATTAACTCGGTTGCAAGCTGGCAGATTTCCGTTTCTTGTTTTCAAGCTCCAAGAAATCTGTTTCATGCCTAGAAAGAACATTCTGGGTACCAGCTAGCTCTTTACCTTCTGGACGTCTTGCTCGAATGCATGGGCTGAGTCTGCTTGTCTTGAGAATCAGTGCATTTGATACCTCGCAAGAGGACACTATAAGCTTTCAACATGCTCTTTTCCTTACTCAGGTGCCTCTGCAAATGTCACAAAACTCATGTTGTACGTTTTCTGTCACAGGGGCCTCTGCCAATGTGAACATGACTGTGTATCTGAACAGCGCCAAGGTGACCCCCCCACTGAGCGGCACCCCCCTTGCGCAAGGCAGCATCCACCTCAGTTTCCCAGAGAATGTGGACCCCCTGACCAGCACCTCCCCCCTCCCTATCTTCTTTGACAAGCTCCAGCTCGATGACTCCATCACTCAGCCAATCACGGGGATCCGCCTATTCGCCGGCGCAGCAAACACGGCATCCGCAAGGGTGGTTGTAGACTTCGGCGTGTCGTCCTTGCTCCCCGTTAGCGGCTCGGTTCAGGTGGCGCCCTCAGTGTTCAGGTCGATCCTAGCCGACCCCGCAAACTTTTACATTACAGTGTACAATGAAGACTATCCGGACGCTGGCATTCTGAGGGGCCAGCTCCCCACTCTAGTTGCCAAGGTCATGCTGGACAGCGCAAACGAGCTTCCGGCTATCAACACCCCCGCCAACGGTTCCGCGATCATAACCTTTGCTGACGACGCAGTATGCCTCTCAGACCTGAACCTGCAAACGCCGGATGGGTACATTCTGTCGGGCGCGCACCTTCACTTTGGGGAGGCCACGCAAGTGGGGCCCGTGACGGTTTTCTTTCCGATTACGAACGACCCGACGCAGCCGGCATGCACCGCTGTAGATTCGAAAGCGGTCCAAGGGATTCTGGGGAACATGAGCGAGTATTACATCAACATTCACGACTTGAACAATGTAAACTATGGATTGGTGCGCAATCAGTTGAACACAGCGGTGGCGCGTGTGGGACTGCAAGGTACCGAGGAGGTGCCGACGATTGCTGGGGATGGTGAGTGTTTCGAACGCATTGTTTGTGTGGGCCTTGCTAGTTGTTTCGGTGAGTGGTCAATCTATCTTATGCATGAAGGGCAGCTAGATGCGACAGCTCTTCTGTGTGTATCTAGATTGAGTGTATGTGGCAGTATGTGATTTATCTGGTTCTCTTCCAGGCCTAGGATGGTGCTGTCCTTTGCCGCGAAAGTCTGCCGTCGGATATTTTTAGGTACGGCACAGGGGCATGGAACTTGATATACAATAGTTACTTCAAACGTTGATAAGACTGTGCCGCATTCAGGTTTAGATGCATATCTTAGGTCACCACTGAAGTTTTGTATCTCAGACACAGCGAGAACTACACTACAGCCTGTGATCATTCTGTTCTGTCAACTGTGCCATACAACCACCTTGATTGAGAAAGCCCTTTTTGCTGCCCCCATTGAGCCCTTATTAGCAACCCAGGGCCTACGTTCTGCAAACCCGCCTAACTCAGGCTTAACCACTTGCAGCTTATCTTGATCCACGTCTGATCGAAACGCCAATCTCTCTTCTTGCAGGCAACGGCCAGGTCATGATCAACGTGCTCGGCACCAATACCGTTTGCTTCTGGAGACTTTCCACTTCTGGCCTACAGAGCCCCCCAGCAGGCCTTACCATCAACTCCGGAAGTGCCGGCCAAAACGGGCCCACTCTAGTTACTTTTAGTTCCGGCGGCCAGCCCAAGTTCCCCACGGGGGGCTGTGTTGTCGTGCCCAATGTAGAAGTGATTTACCAGATTCTTAACCCGGGTGGTAACCGCTACGTTAACCTGCTGACGAACGATTACGCCAGCGGGGCGGCTAGGGGACAGGTGAGGGGCATGGCAAGCGTTTCGCAGAATTTACCAGTGCAACACTCGCACGCCCACTCTGCTTATGGGTATCAGGCATAGCTGTCAGGCATTCGACTCGGAAATGAACTCTGGCCACCAATTGATATCTCTGAAGGCCTGATTGGATGCTGCTCTCGTCTGTCAGGCATCGCTTGCCTCGTTCACAAACGGTCTGCAGCACCTTCAAACAGCCCTGAGCTTTGTCTGAAGACCTTCTGAGGCCCATCAGAAAGTGGGCCCAATCCACTTGTCAAGCGTAGAAGTGCCCAGCATTTGCCCGAGTACTGACCTTTGGTCATGTTTTCCCCACGCAGCTAGTTGGCCAAGGCCAAGTCTCGCAGAGCCTTTTGCTGAGGCAGAACACGCCTCCTGGTAAGTGCCTTTGAACTCCAGTGACAATGACATGTGCGCATACCTATTGTTCCTAGGAAAGCTGTGGTGCGAAATTGTTCCACCCTTCCCTTTTTGTCCCGTTGCTATCCCTCTACCTCTTATTTCGAGCGTTGCTACTTCCCGCCTTCTGTTTGCTTGCAACGTCCTTCTTTGGTTGAAGAGTCCCTCTGATTGGTGTCTATCCTGAAGCACAGAGATAGGACAACTCTGTAAGCAGCACTCATGCCCACCACGCCAATCCCACAGCTTCCGAACCAGACAATTTCTCATTTTGCAGCGCCCGTCGGGTCCCCCAGCAGCGACAGCAACAAGACCACTATCATCATCATTGTCGTCGTTCTCTGCGTCGTGGCGCTCCTCTTTGTTGCCGCGTGTGCTGCTTTTTGCCTCTGGCGACGGTCCAAGAGTGCGAAGCCAAAGGATCACACGGCGCTTGCGAGGAAGTGGTTCGACTGGAACCCGAACCAGGAGGTTCTGCCAACGGCAGGTGAGTCGGCAGCAGCGGAAAGTACAAAACTGTGTTCGACTTGCTTTCTTCGAAGTTGTTGGGAAAGACAGGTGGAGGCGTTTGCTATTGAGTTCTTGCGATTCGACAGACCCTTCCGCTTCGGGGTTTCGAACGGCCTGTGCCAAAGAGGAAGGACGGCAAGAGGGGCCAATTTGGTACCACTTTCGAGACACTCCTGCCTCCATTATCAAGCGGTCGATTTGGCTTTCTTCTCCTTTCGAGTTGCTCTTGCTGCAAGCGTATTGGAAGTGGCTCAACCCAGACATGCTAGTCGCATGACCTTTGATCGAGTTCATCTTCCCAAACGGCTTTCTCTTCGTTTGCATCTCTGTCGACCTATTTGGAACACCACAATGTTCACTTGAACGGCCCTTTCCCTTAAAAGTAAATTCGTGACTTCTCCTGCGCAGCCCCCCCCTCCATCCACTCCTCCAAGTCCCCCCCCCAGTCGGTCGTGATCAGCATGCCCGAGGGCACGTCCAACGTCGGACACGTTCGCGCGTCCAAAGAGTCCGGCATGAGCTCGCGCTCGTCCGAACGATCCAGCGGAGAGCTGCACTACGCCGACAAGACGGCGAGTTCCGACCGCTCGACCAGCCACGACCGCGCACAGACGAGCGGGGGTCTGACCGGGACTCACGGGGGCAAGACCGTTTCTTCGTAAGGATCATCATTTTGGAGCTATTCCGAGAGGATGGGAAGGGAGTTTGGTTGATTAATGTTACCAATCAAATTGCTTTGATTGTCTGCAAGTCGCAGTATCAGTGGTTGTTGGCGCGAGGTGCAATGTCCGCGATTCGCTCTGGACTGCTAAGCTCTAGCAGCGACTTCGGTTCCGATCAAAAGGGAGTGGCTCTGTGTATTTGCTTCTCAAGCCGCTAGTCTCGTTCAGTTTTGGCGATCCTTTCTCGTGCCCACGATTCGGATTTTGCTTGGTTTGCAGTACATCGACGGTCGGTTCGGCGATGCCGTTTGCCGGAGAGACAGTCACGAGCCGCAGCTTCACACTGCGCGAGATCCTGGTGGCCACCGACTACTTCAACGAGAACGTGAGCACACACCTGTCCATTCAAAATCTTTGCGAAATCCCAGGCCAGTTGAGACGAGAAGAGACAGTTCTGATAGATCTAAGTCCCGAAGTACGAGCAATAGGAAGTCGCTTGCATGTAAGTCGATGCCAATGTGGACAACTCAGGCTCGGTTGTAGTAATCTATCAAAGTCAGATTCGGTTGTAGTCGCTTCCCGTCTCGTTTGCTGACGTTTGTCTTTTTCTCTGCTTCCAACGAATGTGCTGATTCTTAGAAAAGAACCGATCAGAGTTCTCGGAGCAAAGCTCTGAGCTTCTAAAGTTTTAGAGTTTAGGCATCTCGATCGTTTCACCGTAAGCGTGTTATATCACGTCCTCATCTTTCCTGGCCTTTCCATCCGCAGGGCGCCCTCGGCGGCGGCGGGTTCGGCAAGGTCTACAAAGGTCTTCTCGACGACGGTTCGCTCATCGCAGTGAAGCGCATGAAGAAGGAGTCCAAGCAGGGCATGCGCGAGTTCATCAACGAGGTGCGGCTCCTGGGCCGGCTGAAGCACCCCAACCTAGTTCGCCTCATCGGCTTCTGCGCGACGGATGAGGAGCAGCTGCTGTGCTACGAGTACATGCCCAACGGGAACCTCGCGCAGCACCTCCGCGGTAAGCCGGCCAAAGTAGATTTCTGGTCGTGTCTGTTTTTGATAACAGCTGACTACGATATGCGCGCAGCATGTTAAAGAGTGTCTTTGAGATAGTTTGAGGCCTGTTCTTGGACTCGCTGCGTTGCTTCACGCCTTCTGGTAAGCCTCTTGAACCCCAGATGCGGGCGCGAGGCTTGCTTCTTTCTGCCTTCGCTTTGTACAACCAGGTATTCGCGTTCTCCGCTTTCAAGGCGTGATTCTCCGTCTCTTGTCTTCGTTACGTGCGGGTTCCTCGTTTTTGAAAACCTTCACTTTTTTGCTTAACAAACCCTACCTGTTGTTCCCTGACCGCCAGGCCCCCACAAGCCCCTCTCGTGGCGGATGCGCCTGGAGGTTGCCATCGGTGCTGCCAAGGGCCTGGACCACCTCCACGTCATCGCAACGCCACCTGTCATCCACAGGTGCGCTACTATTCTACTTCCTCCTAAAACCAGGAAACCCTAAAGCCAAGCTTCGTTTGAAATATACGTGAACTCCAGACTGAGATCTAGGGCGAGAAGAGACAAGGCTGCAACTTCGCAGATAAAAAGTCTTGGTAAATTCTGCCAACTTGCCTTGACTTTACTGGAAGACTTCTCGACTCTCGGCTTCGAGGCTCCGTTTCGCTGATCACCTCTGGACTTGAGGTCAGGCCACATTCAATGAGCTGCAACAGGGGCGGAAACTTATTGGCAATGAACGTGGTTGCAGGGACATCAAGAGCTCCAACATCCTGCTCGACGAGGACTGGAACGCCAAGGTGGCCGACTTCGGGCTCTCAAAGGCCGCGCTCACTAATGCGTCGCAGCCCGCGTCGTCAACTTTCGTGCGGGGGACGCCAGGTGCGTCGTTCGAGCGTGGAATGTTTGGAGTATATGCTGGCAGAGCTTTGCGAGCTGTACGAACAGAGGCTGTTCCGTTACTCTTTCGTGATCGCCGCAGTTGAAGTTGTTTTGCATATCAACATTGGCAGACGAAGTAGGTGCGAAATTGTTTGTGGTCCTTACGGGGGATTTGGAGGCACTCGCGAAGCCCACTTTGGACGCACCAGAGCCGGTCCATCAATGAAGTGTCCAGGAAGGGCATTGCAGGGACTTCCAAGCGATTTCCTTTGAGCATCGATCAGCCTTTAAGCCTGCTTTTGTTGCTCCGCAGGTTACTTTGACCCCGAGTACTACGAGGGTCAGCGGTTGACTGAAAAGTCCGACGTTTACGCTTTTGGAGTGGTGTTGCTGGAGATGCTGACCGGGAAGAAGCCCATCGACCAGACGCTTCCTTCCGCTGACGGCAGCCTCGCCAAATGGGTGAGTCCAGCTCTTCTTTTTCCCTTTTTGGATCGTCTGTACCCCTCTCCGCACATGGATGCGGTTCCAGACCGCAGCAAAGTATTTGCGTTGCCTCTTTAGGAGATGCGCAGTTTACGTGAATCTTGTGCAGGCCCTTTTTTAAAAAAATTCAAGTGGCTAATCAGTCCGTGAAAGTAAAGCCTCTCAGCTCGTAGTATCTCTCCACGCCTGATCAAAGCCTGACAATCCGATCCTAAACCGTGTCCATTTGTTTTGCGCAGGCCCGGCCGCACTTGCGGGATCCCGACCGCACCCTTGCAATCGTGGACCCCCGCATCCAGGGCTCCATGACGCGCGCCTCCGTGCTCAAGATTGCGGCGCTTGCGTACCAGTGCATATCGCTGCAAGGGGAGGAGCGCCCGTCCATGAGCGCCGTCGTCCTCCGGTTGCACGACGCAAACTCGTCATAACAATAAAGTATCGAGTTGGGTCCCGTCTTTTCGGGCGTTAAAACTCGTTGTAGAGTAAAGCGGCGGGTTAGGCTGTTGATGCACGCGCGGGGAACGCCAATTGAAAAAGTGTCTCGTGGTCAATGAGCGGTGTGAAAAGCCGGTGTGTTGGCTGGGAGTCTGTTAGCTGGGCTCGTGCATATAGGTTGACGCTTTCGCGTTTGGCGGCTCGGGGCGATCTTGTATACGTAGCCTCCAATATATGCATTTTTTAAAGATGGTGCGGTGAAGTAGAGTTCTTGGCCGGCCAAAAGGACAAAGCTCGTGTCTTCTGTCATATCAGTCAATGGGACTAGTATAGGTTTCCAGGTGTAGAACTTGTTTGTCGGAACAATGAAGGCAGTCAAAGCAGACACGTAGCAAAATCTTATGTATTCATGTTAATCTATAAAACGCTTCTCAATGTCGACTCTTCTTCTATGTATTGACCTTCTCAGTTGTTTGATACATCCTCAGTGTCTTCGACCACCCGGCGCAATCGCAGATTAGCGTGACTGGCCGGGCAGCTGTAGAGTCAATCGATCATAAGTGAAGTACCCCATGCAGTCTCACTGGCGAACGTTGCCCAATAGCTCATGCTGTGGCTCAGGGTTCATAAATCTAAGCGCGTGACCATGGTCACTATATTGCATGATCGTGCCCTATAGGAACTACTTACTAATAGGCCGGCAGCGGCGGCCGGCACATGTGGATGCGCCACTGCATGTGGTACATACTATATATCATTTGGGACGTTCTGCCCCGATCGTTGTACTTGTCGTGCAAATAATCAAAGAGCTCATGACGATAGCGCTATTAACTTGCATGAAGATAAAGTACGTGTCCACATGCCGTATACTCGCGATCCACTCGGTCGATGCCATCGATGATCGAGTCTGGCTGGCCTGCAGATGTGTTACTAAATGTCTAGATGCAAGATCCATCCGACATGTATATATATAAGTCCATATCCGCTCATGCATGAGGCGCCGGTGCCAGCTCTGAGCTCTGGTCTAGTCTAGGCGGTCTACCACAAATTGTGGATCAAAGTGAGTCTCCCTTTAACGCGTCACTGGAGCTGGCCGGCACCTTCATACAAGTATCAAAGCAGTGCGCCAGTTGCATCACATGTCGTGACTCTGCTGCGCATGTGTGTCTGATTTTGAGCTACATGGATACATGGACCGCGCACTTTTGCAACTGGTGGTAGTAGAATGTATGCATCATTCACACGGAGCATGTAGTCAAAACTTTGATTGCAAGTTGGCAAGCCTCAATCGCCTTTCAATCATACGAGAGCGGACTTCTGACGGTCCCTCGACAAAGACAACACGGGCCTGCCTCAAGGCAATGCAAGCCTCGCATGTTTTAATGAGAGTGAGGCCACTTGGTCGGACCGGCTGTTCTGAAACGAACGAAACGGCTAACGTTCTAGTGCTGCTCGCATGGTTCGTTTCCTCAGTTGTGCAACACGTGGCGCTCCCGAAGCTCCATCCGAAGCCAGCCGATCTTCTTGGTCAGGTCCTCGATCCGCCCCTCCAACTCCTGCTTCCGCCGCCGTTCCGTCATGGTGCGGCCGGCGGACTGGGGCAGCTTGGCATACTCGGACTCCAGCTGCAAATCGCAGACCGCTGCCTTTAACGAGCAGCCACGCTCTGTCGGTTTGAGGTTTCGTTCTTTTGAGATTCAAAAGGCTGCTCAGAGATGCCTTCGACTGTGAAAGAAAGGACGTATTGACGTTGGTAGGTCCTCGGACAGGAGGTGAGACACTACTTGACAAATCAATCGACTGAGCTTCTTTGCGAGTAGGACTCGCTCAACAAAGCTCCATGCTAGTCGATGCCGTTCGACCGCCAACATGGGAAGAAGCCCTCTACATGACGGCCCGCAACTCTTTTGTTTAGTCCCCGTACCTATCCTTCGAGCAAACCAGATTCCAAGTCTTTCTAAAGAAAAGAGGGCCGCGTTATCAGTTTTGAATCGATAAAAAGGAGTACAGTAAGTTGGAAGACGAAGCCCAAAGTCGATAAGTTGCCACGTGTCGCAAGCTTTTGGGTCCAAGAATGACGTTTGTGAATACTGTAAACCAACAAGAAAGTCACGAATCTAACGATTATACTTTGTCTCGTTCTGCAACGACCGTCTCATGCCCGGTTCGCGTACGTCCGTTTTGGCATGGTGAGGCCGTTTTTGTCCGACGTGGCAGCTCCCAGAGATTCGGACGCATATGAACACCACTTTTGAAAACCGAGCAAAACCGATGTCGGTGTTTGCCGAGTATCGCAAACCGAATCTTGCTGGAACTCGACTAAATTCTAAAACTGCCTAATTGTGGGAACCGGACGAGGAGTTTTGCAAAGGGAAAAGAACGCCTAATTTGCCCACGTGTTTCTCAAAACCAGCGAAGTTGAGAACGCATGTGAACCGGGCATTACCTTCCATAGGGCTGCTTCAAAGGACTCGAAACACACTAACTATCCAGAACTCACACCCGTTCCGATGAAGGGGTCGGTTGCGATATGAGACCAGTACCTGACTCCGTTCGAGTGACACCTCCATCAGCTTGCTCTCTATCGCCGCCGTCTCTTCCATCGCCTCCCGCAACGACTGCTCAGTCGCGAACGGCACAACTTCGCGCGCCCGAGGGGGATCCCTCGCACTCCCCAGGCTAGGTTGGCTAGAAAGAACTTCGCTCTCGGGTGAATCAACCGGGCCGTGTCGGCGATCCGCTCCGCTGGCTACGATCCGTTCCGCTGTGGCCGATCGTGGCGGAGTCACTGTCCGTTGTGGGCTGTTCGGGCGGTCACGTGACTGAGTGGCGAAACGGTCCGGACTTTCTTTCCGGACAGTGGGGGCCTGTCCGCGGCTGCTCTCCGGAGGCTCTGCCACGTGGCGCCTGTCCATTGTCCTCATCTCCGAGCCGGACACACCTCTACCGAAGTCGGGGCCGTCCGCTCTTCCGCCATTCCGTTCACCTCCCAGCGCATTCCGCTCGCTGGGCGATGCTGTTCTTGCGTTCGCAGGCCCCGCTCTCTCGTTTGACGTTGGCACCTTCCCGCTTGCCGCCGGACTCCGCTCGCTTCCCGCCGGAATCCGCTCAGCCTGCCGGGATCCACTCACGGCGCCCCGGTCAGTTTCCTGGTCCATCGTGAGGCTGCGGCGCATATCATCCCCCGCTAGTTGCTGCGCCCGGTTTCTACCAACCGGGGAAAACACACCAGCTGGGGGCAGGGTCTCTGGGCCCGGCCCATTTTCCCGGTGCTTCGGGTTCGCATTCCGTTCCGTCTTGGAGATCAACGGAACCGGTTCAGGCGCGGCCATTGAGCTGCTTTCTCCTCCTAACCTGCCCATATCAGCTGGTCCACCCTGTGTCTCGCTCCCCGTTTCCAGTCCAACCTTGTCAAACGAGTCTGGACCGAACGATAGGCTATCAAACGACGCTTCCAATCGCCTGGCAGCTGACAAAGACTCCCCCTGAGGGTTGTAGCTTTTGAGGCCGAAGCTGCCGCGTCGGCTCGGGGCCGCGGACCCCTCCATCGCGTGCGCCGCCTCCTCTAGTTTCCGAAGATTGTGGTACAAGTCGGTTCGCTCTTCCCGACCAGCGAAGAGCGCCACTTGTAATTGCGAGATTGAAGTGTCCTTGGAGGCGATCTGCAGCTTCAGCATGTTGCACTCCTTGCGCAGGGCCTCGTTTTCGCCGTTGGCGCGCCTGCATAACAGGCCGCCGAGAGTAAGTTCCGGCGGGGAGGGATCTTACGAGGCCTGTGAAATCTCAAAATTTTCGGAGCACCGTCAGCAAACGGTCCAGAGTCTCCCAAAAACAGTCGAACATGCATTGTCTAGATATGCCAGATTATACGATTGGTCTACCTAAGGCCTCTTCATCTTCCGCCTATCATAGGTGAAGTAGAAATCAGAAATCGGTTCGACTGTTCCGAGACGCCCCAAAAGCCCCCTCTCCGAACCGTTCCTTACTTGCTGGCCTGCTCCAGTTCCGCTGTGCTCTGCCGGAATCCGCCCACCAGCTCCTGCAGATTCGCCCGGTCCTTCTCCGCACGCTGCAGCCGCGCCCGCAGCGCCTCGTTGTCCTCCCGGAGCAGCTCGGTGACCACAGGCAGCTTGCGCAGCTCCGTTAGGTCGCCATCCAGCCGCCGCCGCTCCTCCAACAGGGCCTCCAGCTCTGCCTGGTCACGGGCCTGGTGGAGATTAAGGGATTAGCATAAGTTTCGACTTACAGGATTTTCTTTCAGAATGAAGGCTTTACTTCTCAAGAAGTTCCCGGCTTGTGCCCCCGGCTTCGGAAGCAAGCCTTAAAACTTCGAAGTGGACTCGATCGAGAGGCTGGAGGGTTTCAATTTTCCGAAAGAATGCTTGAAGCTTCAGAAGGCCTCTGCGTCGGGGGTCCGTTTCGCGTGCTCGTCTCTTACCAATCGTCGACGTGCTCCCTTAGGAAGAGATATGTCACTGACTGAGGGTTTTCGAGGTATGCGTTCTTGCGTGGGCTTCACGTCCATATGTCCTCATTCAAGCACATCTTGCTTCGATGTATCTGTCCACAGTTGAAAGGCTTACGTTTGTGTAGCACAAGCTTTGCCGCATCAGACGCTGCTCGAAGAGGAGAGAACGGTGGAAGCAATTGCTGGTTCAATACTCAAGTCTGCTCGCGCATGTCGCTTGGGTGCGCCAAATCGAAAGCCCATTTGGTTCACCGATTCATTTGCCGAAGGGTTTCCTTTGTAAAGCACGTTTGACGTAAAACTTGCCAATTTTCCTGAGGGGTTCAAGGCCATTCTTTTGGTTGAAGCTGTTGACGCGGTTCACTAGATCGCATTCCTTTCAGTGTCGAGCTTCACTCGTCTTGGCTCCGTGTCGAGAAATTTCGAGAGGAGAAGCACACTTCACATTCCAAGGACTTCTGGGGCATTCACCTGAATCTCCTCAATCTCTGCAGCCAGCCGCACGTCCTTCCGCTCCAGGCGCACCAGCTTCTCTGCATCGTCCTGCATCTTGCGGCGTGCCGCCTCTCGTTCTTTCTCTGCCTCCTTGAGCCGATGCTTTGCTTGGCGGCCCTCCTCCTCGAACCGACGGGCCCGGTCTACAGCTTCGACGACCTGCAGAGGACGAGGAGTTGACCTGCCACGTTTCACACTTTGACTCGATGGTGATAGCAGAGAGACCTCTGGCAAGATTAGACATTTTTGCCCCCACGCATCAGCCTCCGAAAGTGATGATCACGAGGTTCGAGAGCAAATGCCAAGACCAGCGTAGCAAGAAACCGTGGTGCGGATCTCCTAAGTTGCCCGTCCACTTTTTCCAAAGCAAGCGGGTGTCCGATCATGATCAGACATTCACGTGAGAGAGCTGTCAAGAGAAAGGGACGTCGTATCAAAGTTTTGCGCAGCCGCAAGTGGGAGGCTGTCAGCTTGCCTCGGTACTTCAGTCTGCAAGTTTCGATGCTTCACAGGTTTTGTCTTCTGTCTCGATTTTCAGATACCCAAGATTGAGCGAAGCAATGTCAATCAAACAAACAGAACTGCCAACCTACAATGCTAAGAACTTCAAATTGACCACATTGACTTGCCTGGTCTTCTAGCTCCCGCTCCCTAGATCTCGCTCCCGCCAGCGCTTCCTCCAGGCCCCTGTTCTTATTCTCCGCAATCTGTTTCGATTGCCTCTCCTCCTCTAACGCACTTCTCAGCTCAGCAATGAGCTCCTGACTTGCCCGCTCCTTTGCCACTAGATCGCTCAAGGCCTCTAGCGGCGCGCCTTCCTCTCCTGTGTCCGAGTTGCCTTCTTTGCTGGCGGGCTCCCATTTCGTGGTGCTTGTTGACCTTAGCTCAGTCTCTGGTTGGTTGGGGGGAGCTTTGAAACTCGGTCTAGTTGCATTATTGAAGTGCGTTGGGGCGGAAGGTGCGGGCCAGGGAGGAAAAGGAGGCGTGTACTGGTGTGTACTGGATTGACTAGTGTGTACAGGTGCGTACTGGTGCGCCTGCAGGTATGGCCAGTAGATGGGGTGCAACTGCTGTTGCTGCATCTGAGCCATGAGCAGATTCTGGAGCAGCTGAGGGTTGGGGTGCGAAAAGGCGCCTGGCCCAACGGGTGTGAATTCCTGCCTGGCAGGCTGGGGACCAGTGGCTGGCGCTGATGTCAGCTCTGGTTGGGACATGAGTATCTGATCCGCCTGCCAGTTCGTATTGCTGAAGCTGGCTTTACTTGGAGGAGGGGACTGGGAGCTGAGTAGGTGCTCAGTCAGCTGCCCTGCCTCTTGCTGAACACCAGGAGGGCCCTTGGAAGGTTTCTTCCCGAGCAACTTCTGTGAAACCAGCCGCTGGCGCGTGATCATATCCGCCTCTGACTCTGCCACATTGCTTGTTGGAGTCGGTTGAGTATCGTGCAGCTCCGGCGTGCGATTGGAAGCAAACCTCTTTGGTCTGTGAGCAACCCCAATGACATCATCATTCTGGAAAGACACCTCCAGTGGTGTAGACTCCCGGCCCTTGGAGAGAAGCCTGTCTCTGCTACCAGCAAAAGAGGATAGGCGTCCGCGAGACTGGTTGTCAGAGTCTGAATTAAAGAGCATTCGAGGCTGCTGCTTCAGCGAGTCGTACAGGGTGGACCCGTCCACAAACTCTGATTGAGCTGAGAGCTCGAAAGCAGGGTCAAGCCTGGGACTCCCAAAGCTGGGAGTCCGCAGGTCGTTCAGCTTGCCAGCCATGTTGAACACCCTCTCAGCAAAAGATTGGGTGTATTCTGTGGGAGATGCTAAAGGAGCTGCAATCCCTTTAAGCCTATGCAAGAGATGCTGCTAGATGCGAAAGACAGATGCTCTCACTTTCACGGGCCCCTTCCGAGTTGATGCCAGCGGTGGTTCTTCTAAGCTACGTCTGATGCTCACGACTAAAGCTCACTAGCATCTGCAACTTCGATGTTTCCCAAACCCTAATTTTCAACGTGCTCTTGCCAGCTAGCTCTCCTTTTAGCTGGGCCAACGGCTCAGTAAAGACATCTTTTGCAGCCATCAGAAGCATGTATGCGGCGCCAACGCTTATACAGGTTGCGAAATTGAGCGTCACAATGTTCATGAGGAGCCCTGCTGCATTCAATGTCTCCTTCAGAATCGAGGACCATGATTCCTCCTGGGCGAACCTGCAGGCGATCATTGGACTCTGCTGTTGGACCGTAGCTATGAAACCTTTTTCGAATGTCGAACATTTCTGAATATTCGTGGAACACGTTTGCGTTTTCAAGCCAGCATGAGGGGGGATGAGGGAACCTGGAAAGCCCGGTTAAACCAAATTCTTTCGACAAAACTCGGTACGTTACACCGGAATCTACATGGGTAAACAGAAGGGTACGATAGACAATTGCCCTCTACTGTTCCAACACACAGAGCCAGATAAATAGCACAACAATGACATGCAGCTCGCCTGGATTGGGAAAGGAAGCTGTCAAATACTCCTATATTAGGGCTCCCTTGTCGAAGTTCCTGCTAGCTGGAAAGCTTGAAGTTGTAACAAGGGCTCCCTGCAGGCTCGCCAGCAGATTGCACTGTGCAGCCGTTTATGATGCTACTGTAAAATGCGGTCCCCTGCTCAGGAGAGTTCCTGATTTGTAGTCAGAGACACGCCAAGCTGGAAGCTGCTGACGCTGTATGTTTGCGATGGAGTGGTTAGACCAAGACGCCGAGGACTTCTCGTCCCCCTCAGGGAGTTTAGCTGGTGACGAATCGGGGTCAGAGATCGACGAACTGCCGTTGCACCACCGACACCACAATGAGAACCCAGCCCCTAGCTTTGACTCGCCCGAAATGTTGGCATCGTATGTAGGGTCACCCATGAGGGACCATCACAGTCAAGGATTAGCCTTCTTTGATGCAGCGGATTGCCCTCAGACTGATGATGACTTTATAGATGACAGTGGACCTGAGGATGGAGAGGACTCTGACGCACCCACGGACGCGCAATCGTCAGCCATTGCTGAAATCTTCAGGTGTTTCATATGTCTCGGAAAGGTGAGGCACCTTCTCAGACCCCTGGATTCTTTGTGCTCTTTGGAATTGAGCTGGCAAGGAGGATTGTGCATTTTTGCTGAACTTCATTTTCTGACTATGACGACCTCTTGGCGTAATTCTGCCCGCAACAAACATGACCAGAGCTCTCTGCGATGAAGTGTACTGTGATAAACCCCACCTGGGAAGATTCATCCAAATGCTGCCCTCCTTTGCATGCTCAGTATCTGATGTTGAACAATAATTGGAAAGACAACAAGAGAGAAGAGGCAGGTCTCAGACTACACTAGCCGTGTGGACCAAGGTCAAAGTACAGCAACGATAGGGTTACAGTCAAGGCTGAAGGTTTCCTGGCCAGCTTCTAAAGGGTTTATGACGGGTTTGTGTGATGGCTTGCAGGTGGTGGAAGCCCAGCTGTGCCCTTGCTGCTCAAAAATCTGCTGCCTCCGGTGCATCAAGGTAGGCTGGGGCAAAGGGCCTGTGAGAAATGCTTTATAATAGGTCTACATTATGCCAGAGCGCATTTGTGTTAGAATGTTGAGTTGCTTGCAGACAATTGAAGGATGGTTCAACAACCGATGCATCTACAACTTGGAAAATGAAGCTTGCTTGTGATCATATTTTAAGAGACGGATAAGACACGGATGTCGGCTGCGCCGTTGCTCATTTCAGTGCACGCCAGTGTCAAGCACCATGTACTGTAGTTCCTCAGCTGTGTATCCATCAGCTGCAAGGTCCATCTGGTGCGCACCATCTGCAATCTGGTTTGACACAACAATTCTCTCCCTGGTAGTGAATATATTATTCAGATTTCCGTACCCCGTTTGTTGCAGAGGTGGTTGATGGACCAGCGGCCCCAATGTCCCCACTGCCGAGCCTCACTGCGAGTTTCCCAGCTAGTCAATTGTCGCTTCATTGCTGACCTCTCAACTGTAAGCAGCAGTCTGTCTTTTCCTACGCAATACTGCGATGTATCATCCTTTGGTACAGAGTGCTGATCAATGTTGAGTCCTCTGATTTCTGGAAGCTAGAATCTGAGGGTCTCTCAAGTGACCAAGCTCAAGTGCAGGCACAATCAAAATTTGCTAAATTGCATGTCGCCAAATCCTTCGATAGTACCTATCATCAGCGGGTCTCGCCTTTGCAGGAACTAGAGAAGCTGCAGAGGACCGGAGCGGCAGAGGTGCAAGAGAAGGTAAGCCTTCCTTATGAACCCCTACCTGGAGACAAAATTGGCCCGGAAAACAACACGAGTGGAGCTTTCACTCGCAGAGACGGAAGCTTCGCATACCAGCGTTGCACTTGAACGTCGACTGCAAAGATCAGCTGAATTATCCATGCACAGGCGATTCTACCATGGTCAAGAAACAACAAGGTCATCTCACTGCAAAGCTGGACAACTCCGCACACGCCACCTTTTGTCCGCTGACAGAGTCCTTCTACTTTCCATCGGAATTCAGCCATTTGAAAGGAAGATTCCGAGATAAAGCTTTGTTTGTCTGCAGGCCTGTTCGCTGCACAATAGCCCCATGTCCTACTACTGCAACACGTGTACAGAGGCGGTGTGCTCCGATTGTGCAGTATTTGGCGAGGTAGGTTGAGTTTTCACCGTTTGCCAGTTGGTTAGAACAACCAAGCGGCTGCTCGAAAGCGGACTCTCTCCGGAACAAACTCTTAGCTGGTCCTCAGTCGAGGTTATCTTTCTACACCTTCCTTGGAATCTGCTCGTCAAAGATGAGTTAGAAATCTGCTGGGGGACCAGGCTTAAGATCAGTACAGAAGTTCAGGGGAGGCTGCCCCCTCCGACCATATCTTGACGTGATATGCCTTAAGATGGATCAAATGACTTCTCCAGCTCTCCAACAAACAACCAAAATCTGTTCTTTGCTTGCGAGTTTAATCAGTCGCTGTGTTGACGTCCATAAATATCTCGCTCCATATTTGACATTTCTGCCTAGAGCACGAAGTCCAGCAAATCACAGGCCAACACTTTCTCAGGTCACGTTACGAAGTGCTTTTCTTTCTCCTCCCAGGGACATCGGGGCCACTCCTTTGAACGCCTGTCCGCCGTATACGAGCGCCACGTGGAAACAATCCGCAGTGAAGCCGTCGGCCTGCGGCGGCGCTTGAAGGACCTGTGTGCGCTGGTGTCCGAAAAGGACAAGAACATCGAAAGGGTGCACAAGGTACGGACGGGCTTCGGACGGCTACACTATCATTCTAACAATGCCGTTGCTTTGTTCGTCCCTATTTGCCCGAGTGACCTGTCCGACCCGGTGCAACGAACTGTCCGAGTGCTTGGAGCCACCACTTCCCGCACCAAGTGTTGCAAAACGTTCCAAACGACGGCGGCTTTGACGGAACGGTTCCTCTCTGTGGAAAGAGTTGATCAATGTCCCGGCGTGCTCATTCGGCCAGATTGGGATACGTTCGGCAGCTCTTCAGAGGCGTATTGGCGGCTGTGTTGAGGTGTCGACAGTTCCCCGCTTACGATCAGGCTAATGCAAGTCTCCACGCTTTCAGGCAAAGGACGAGGCGGGCATGGAGCTGCAGCTGGCGTTTGAGGGCATGCAGGCACGCCTGTCTTGACCTCGTGCCTCTTTAACATCTCGCTGCTTTTTGATGAAGTACGGAACGCACCAATGCGGAAGGATGCCCATCCCCTCGTCAATCTCTTGGCCTCGCCGCTTTTGCGCTCGTCAAAGAGATGCAGCTCTGGTGCAATATCCGTTTGTCTGACTGTGTCTGCGGAGAAGCTATATCTAACGTGCTGGCTTTGTCCGCAGGCGCGCTTGGAACAACAGTTGAAGTCGAAGCTGCTCACTTTACTCGCTCAGAAAGGTTCGATGACACAGGAGGTGAGCTGGCAATCGGAGTCTTCCTGTTGTTCGCCTCTCTCGCTCTCAGTTCGTTTTTAATATCGTACGGAGACTGCTTATATCAGACGGAGGGCCTCGATGTTTCATCCAAAACCAAAACCGGCTATCATCCTCAAGCAATCCTTAGAAAGATCTCTTAACCAAAAAATAAGGTGTAAGATAAGACGGTTGTCTTATTCTCCAGAAGTAGATACAAGGAATGTGAACCCAACATAAAATGTTTGTCTTTTAAAGAGCTCACGTTATAGCCTCGTAACCCGCAGATCGAGGGCCCGGACACCTCATGCGACGGTTCGAAGCCAACTTCAGAAGCGGATAAAAGGGAGCCGAAGTCCCATTCTTAATCGATCCTTCAAAAACGTCCAGAACCTTACGATTAGCCTCTTGATCCGCAGATCGAGGGCCTCGACACCATGATGCACGGCCTGAACGCCCAGCTCAATACGGTCCCCCAGAAAAGGCATGGTTATCTGGTATCCAAAATCTCACGTTTAGCCATTAACCCGCAGATCGAGGGCCTGGACACCATGATGCACGACCTGAACGCCCAGCTGGACACGGTCCCCAAGGGCGAGCTCGTCGGGCGAAGCGCGAGTATCTGCAGCATGCTTCAAGAAGTCCAGCAGCGACCGACCTCGGACGTCAACCGGACGCCCGTGCCTGCGGACTTCATCTCGGAGGTAAGCCCGTAAGCGTGCATCAGGATTCGCGGTCTCTGGTGCGTCTAAGCATTCTCAGCGTACTTCGATGCTAAGGTGCCTGCTTCCTCTTCAGCTTAAAGATGCGTGCACCAGCGAGGATGCCACCTCTCAATGATCCTTTTCACTCTGCCCGAGAGCGCTTGCTCGAGCTATCTGGCGCCAAGATCCTCCAATTTCGCAGCTGTTCGCGACTTCTTATCGGAACGAGCGGCGCGCTTCCACTCCGTAAGGCATCAGGCCCTCTCATTCCCTGAAACTATCAAATTCTCTTACGATCCACATGCCCCTTCGACCGAATGTCGCCCATCTTCGGCTCCTAAGGGTCCTTTCTAACGTTGTGGACTCGGTCAGTGAGGATCCTTCTAGAGAATGTTACCTTCTTAACTCCGAATCCAAACACAAAAATCTTCCTCTTACAGGTCGTTCCTCCGTACGACCAAGGCGAGTTTGTCCTGCACGATTTTGAGCGAGTGCTGCGACGGACGTCCGCCGCGGGGGTCCCCGCTCCGAGCCCCAGGGGCGTCACATCCGTCCGGACGGTGGAGCCGCAGCACGGGAGCAACGCGGCGGTGAATCCGTCGGAAGACGCGTCTGACGGGGCGGGCGTTGTGTACAGTCAGGTGATTGACTTTGCTCAATGCTCGGTTTGTTCCGGTTGGCGCATGTAGTGGGCGCAATTGCGCAGGGAGCCCAGCTGCCGAGTTTGTTGGGACCAGAGTTGCAACGAACGGTCAGAGCCCAGTTAACGACTTTCAGTTTTGGCAACTTGGGCCGGAACTCCATAGGGAACCATTGGAAGTCAAGCGCAGCTGTTGTTAGAAGTCGGCCATTACTGCTCTTGACGAGCAAGCTCCGACCGTCGTCTGAACCCGGTATGAAAGTGCGTACGAAAGGATTGATGCCGAATTTCTGTGGCCTTAGACCCTGACAACGGGGCTCCTCTGCTTTCAGCCAATCCAAGCTGCCGGGATCGTGTGGCGGCTCAAGGTCTACCCGAACGGAAACGGAGTGGCAGCTGGCTCTTACTTGTCCGTCTTTCTGGAGGTGAGAGCAGCCGGAAGCGGAATTTTGAATACGTCAGATCTACTTTTATGAACACGTCAAATCAAAAGTAGATCAAGGACGTCAAGAAGAAGTTCAGAAGCGTACCTTTTCGTTGCGACTCCATCTGTGCACAAGCAGTTTTCGGCCGCAGTCCGCTGCGGCCCCCTCTCGGCCCCTTCTCAAAGCTCGAACTTCGAACATGCAAATTTGCCTTTCGCATCGGTTTGCAGGCGTGAACTTCCACTGACGGCGTGATTCTGTCCGTCGGGGACCACTAAGACCGCCCGGTTTACGTTTCCGGATGATATTGCAGTCCTGTTCTTGCTGCAGATGGTTCAAGGAGGCTCGGAACCGGCCAAGTACGAGTACAAGATCGAGATGCTGCATCGCACTCGCCCCACCCAGTCAGTGATACGAGAGTTCGCGTCCGTCTTTGAGGTGAGAGCTCATCACCGGACTCTTTCCTCTGGTTTCGGTCATCTTATTAAGGAAAATTGCAGGTTTAGAAAACGGCAGTTCTTTAAATGTAGGCACTTTCAGGCACGGGTTGAACTTTGGCACTTTCAGGCACGGGTTGAACTTTGACACATTCTGCCTTTTCATAGAGAATTAAGGAGCTTAAAGAGGACGGAGCGCATTCTTAAGCAAAGTCGCAACGAGCCGCCGCTTCTTGTATCACGAGTGCACGAGTCTGAAAGGCGAAACGCAATCCAAAATGATTAGCGGCGGTTTTCCTAACCAACTGAAATGGTTAGCGGCGGTTTCCCTAACCAACTCTAAACCCGCAGGTCGGCGAGTGCTGGGGCTACAACCGGTTCTTCCGACTGGAGGTACTCAAGGAAGAGGGCTACTTGCTCCCAGAAGAGGACGTCATCACCCTACGCTTCCACGTCAGAGCGCCCACGTGAGGCTTCAGCACTGTTTTGCAGCTATTGCTTATATCCTTCCTTACAAGCTTCTGGCATACATGTGCGCACAAACGTTTTCTTGAAGCATCGTCTGAGAGTCTGCTTTCGAGGGTTGATACCCGAGAATCCGCCGATTGTGCTGGCCGGCTCTTGCAGACTCGTTGATGACAAATCAATTGGTGTGCGGCTTCCTCGTCGGAGTCATGGCGAACTTAGCCCGTCAAAGCTGTTGATCTTTAAAATACAGCCCGTATGCCACGGTAATCCTGTGCGGGAAGCCGCTGGTGAACATTCGTCCATTGCCCAGCAAAGAGTCGTACTTGGATCCATATTTGGTTGACGTTCCTAAAGCAAATCCTAAATCTCGCAGGTACGCCCAGCAGTGCCAGGACCTGCGGCGCGCCCTGGTCGTCATCGACAGCGAAAAGTCGGACGCCCTAAAACAGGTGGACGTGCTCCGGCGCGCGATTGCTGACACCCTCTGGTGGAAGCGCCGCCGCAAGATGCCGGCCAACCGGGACGCGACACCTGGCAGCGGGGACGGGGCAGAGAGCGCCCCAGGCAAGGGATCCAGGGCGGGCACCAGCGGGTGGGACGACCGTGACGTCAGCAGCGGGAGGCGTGACGTCAGCGGCGAGGGGCGTGACGTGAGCAGGGAGGGGCGGCGCGCTGGCGAGGGAGAGGAGCCCGTTTCCCGCGGTCGGAACGAAGCGGCGGCGCTGGTTCAGAAGCGGGTGTCGCGTCAGAAAGCCGGGGGGGGAAGGAAGAAAGTGGCGGGGACCGGCAAGCGGTTGCGAGAACGGCAGGAGGGGGTGGCGGGAGGAGAGCAGTCCGAGTGCGCGCCGGCGGCAGAGGCGCAGGTGCTGGAGCAGCTGTCGGTCGCGCTGCCGGAGCGGGATGACGTCAGCGCGAACACGGGCGCGGACAGCCCGGCGGAGAGCGACGAGGAGTTCGTGGAGGCGTCGGAGGGATCCCCCGAGGTCCGGGAGGGTGTGATTGCGCTCGAGGGGGAGAGCGGGGGCCCCTCAGAACGGCCGCCGGCCGAGATCGACGAGCCTGGAAAAACTAGGGGCGTGGTAGAGGCAGATGTGCAGGGAGGTATTGGGAACGAGGGTTTGAAAGACGAAACATCACAAGCGGGCAACGAAGAGAGTGATGCACTTCTCGAGCGGAGCTCTGGCGAGGCCTTAGCTCGCGAGGAGGTGGTCGCCTCAACCGGGCCGGACGATGTTCCCGGGCCGAACGAAGTTCCCAATTTTAGCGGCTCCAGACGAGGGGCGAGGGGTGTCCGTGCGGTTCTGAGACTGTCGGGTCGGCCTGACGAAGTCTTAAGAGAAGGGATTAACGGACGGGCCAAGGAAGCTGAAGAGATTGAGGGGTTGGGCAGACGATATGCGGGCAGAGATCAGGAGGCTAGTGCACTGAGTAGGCCAAAGCCAGCTGAAGCGGAGAGTTCGACTAAGAGTAGTTTGCCTGAATCTGAAGCAATGGCTGAGGAAACGGACGGTGCTGAGGGCCTGATGCGCTCTGGAAGTCGACCCGGAACGGAGACGGAAGAAAGCGCGGAAGGGGCATTGACAAGTGACCCGACAGGAACCAGCGAGGGGGGCAGCTTGGACGGCGTTCCTTCTGAAGAAACAGTGAGTGCGGAAAGCGCGTCGGCTCTAGGAAAAGCAGATTCGTCGGGGCCGAAAGAACGGGCGTCTGCAAAAGCTGCCAGCCAAGGGGTGCGATTGGTGATTGTCAAGGCCAGAGCGACAACGCCTGATCTACGGGCAGGAGTATGGAATGAGGTGGGGCCACTTAGCGCCAACGGAAGTTCAGGAACCGCGGTCGGTAGAGAATGCCCGGCAGTTGCGTTACCCGCGCTTTTGGCGCTGGTCGAATCAGCGACTGCCACGTCAACGCCGGCCGGCAGCCCGGGAGAGATCCGTCGTTTTCGCAATGCGGAGCAGAGTCCTCTGAGCGGTTTCGACAACATCCCCGATACCGACAAAGAGAACATCCGGAACGGCGACCGGAACCAGGCGCGGGCCCTCGCGCGGTCGCCGTGCTTCATGGAGCGGGTCGCGAAAGTGAGCGTCGGTGAGGGGAAGGACGGCGCGTGTGCGCTGGGCCGGACGACACTCGGGAACGTTCGCAAGGGGGGTGTGGGGGTTAGCGTTAACCCGCTTGGAGTGGAGTTGAAGAGCCGGCTTCGGGGCGAGGGCCGGTTCTTTGGACGCGGGCGCGACCGGAAGGGCAGTACGGACGATTTGCGGGCAGGAAGTGCATCGGCGGAGTCGCAGCTCGAGCAAGTAACGGCGGGCGGTCGTAGGGATGGGGTTTCGGTCGAACCCGGGCTCGAGGCTGAGGCCTGGCGCAACAATCCGTTTGTCAGGCATAGGCCGAGGACCAGCGAGAAGGAGCAAGAGGGCTGTTCCGATGGGGAGGTAGCAGTTTCGACGGAAACGGAACGCAGAAGAAATTGGGAAGTGCTCCTGGACCGGGCAATATCTTCGAGGGAAGCTCTGGAGGGGCTCCAGGGGTTGGAGGTCGGCAGCGACGGTGGACCGCTGCCAACGTGGAATGGTGTAGAGGGTAGTAGCCATCAAAGCCAGGCGGGCGTGGATTACGCCGACGCCTGATCTGACGCCAAGGACGAAGGTGGAGAGCCGCTAGCCAGAGTACTTACTACTGATTGCACGTCTTGACGAGAGTCTGTCTAGTCGTACTGGTTTGATACTAGCGAGCTAATAGATGCGGTAAGTACGGTAATCTACAACCGGACGGATATCAACCAATTGATCTGCATTACGTAGAATGACCACGAAACCCTCAATGCACAACTTGGTTGGCTTGGCAATCGCGCAAATCACATTGGAAGTTCCTGCATGAGATGTTTGTGTACTCACACAATCGAGTCTCTTGTCAAAGGTACGCAGTCTTTCCTGACCATCGATTATGCTCCGTAAGTTCTTGCCTCGCGTGCATTCAACTTTCGTTACACTATGAAGGTACGTATGTGGGTGGCATGCATGTTGAAACATTCATTGGGCAAGCACTTCCGTCACCTGTTCGAAATACCTGCTCGATCGTTCTTGCCGCTGCCCAGCACAAGTGTTACTTCAACGCTGCATACAGGCTTGTGACGATCATGCACATGCTGGCACCGGCACTTTGATATATTGGCTTGAAATGATGGTATGTGCTTACCTCTAATCGTAATTGTAATTGTTTGATTAACGTCGTTTCGGAGCCATGATTGGCTAAGTCGACGATTGTCCTGTTATGCTAGCTCGCCTCTCTAAAGAAGTATGCAGAAATTTACCTACCGCATACTTGTCCTGCAAATTAAGGAAAGCTTTCAAATTCCTATTCTCCCTGTTCGCAAATAGAATGTGAAAGACTTTTCAAATGTCGCTATAGGCCGGACAATTATAGACAAAATGCCTTTCTGACTCTACTGCTCCTAACGTGCACACCTGGCAGAGTCTCTCCTCGCGAGCAATCCCTTGCCAACTCCCTGTTTCGATAGCAAGCTTGTGGGCTCCGACTCTGAATTTGGCTAGAGTGTCGAAGTACTTGGAGACGCCTATTTCATCTATGAAAGACTCAAAGGAGTAGCCTTCCTTGACATCCTCAAAGTACGTGCAAAACTTTCTGCCGTACCCCTCTCTTAGATCTTGCATATATGCCATCTCAGACCTCTCTTGAAGCAACGCCAGGTTTAGAACACCTATACTCTCATCTGCTGAAACGAGTTCACAAGCCTTTCCTACAATCCTCGCATACCACCCGCCTTCGTTTGCTGCCCACATCTCCTTCGACTCCTCGAATGCCAAGCGGGCCAACCGGTTTTCTGCAAGACTTGCCGTCCGGTTGACAAACTTGAAGACCTGCGCCCAACGTCTGATCACCAAGGGGAACCGACCGAATTCTCCCAAGACCGCCTTGGACAGCGACGATTTCCGAACTTTCAACAAACCCCTTAGAAACGCGCGATGCACCTTCTCAGGACCGTCCCCATCGCCGTTCCAACCCCACTCCGGACCGTAGCCGGGGCCCCAGACCTCCGCTCCATTCCCAAGGATTGGGCTAACCAAAACGTCAAACAAGCCCACCCTCGTGCTCGCTCTGCGCAACCCCAGCTCGGCACACCTCCTTTCCATCGCAAAACTTGCCTTCCGCCCAGCTTCTACCAGATGCTGAACAGCCTCTGTGAACTTCCCGTTGCAATTGAACTGGACCCCCAAATAGCGGTAGCTTTGGACAATCTCGACCAGCTCTTCGCCATACTCGAAGTCGTGCTTTCCCTTCTGACTGCTGAACCGACCGCCAAAGACCACAATCTGCGTCTTTTGAAGATTCACAGAAAGACCGCTCTCTTTCGAAAACTTTTCCAACAGCCTCAGCTTTCTTTGCAGATCACCCTCCGGGTTCCTCGACAAAAGAAGCACATCATCCGCAAACGCTAAAAGCGGAAATCTGACCCCCTTTAACGTCGGATCTTCCTCCCCGCGCATCGACTCCTCCAAACCGTCTATGTACAAACCGAACAGAAGGGGACTCAACGGGCACCCCTGTTTAACTCCCCAACTGCTCTTGAAGCTCTCCTCCGAAATCCAACCTTCTCCTCTAACCCGGCAACGGACATCAGTGTACATGCTCTGCACACTTTGCAGCATTTCTTCTCCCACTCCTAGTTCTTTCAACCGTCGCCACAACTTTTGCCTTGGCACCAAATCAAAAGCTTTCTTAAAATCGACAAAGCAGGCAAAGAGGTGACGATCTCTACCTCGACCCCATCTTTCGATCAGAACCCGCAGCGCCAAAAGATGATCCGCCGCTCGGAACCCTTTCCGAAACCCTGCCTGCCCGTTCGCCCGAATCGACCCTTTCTCCGCCCACTCCGTCAGCCTTCGATTGATGACGGTCGCAAACAGCTTGCCAAGGATTGGCCCTACTGTCACCGTCCTATAATTGCCATAATCTGACGGGTCCCCCTTTTTGAAAATGGCAACCAGCACACCCTCGTTCCAACTACTCGGAAACACGCCCTCTTCGAAAGCCCGGTTAAAAACCTGGGTTAGCCCCGCTACGAGCTGCTTTTGCCCTGCTTTTAGCAACTCAGCCGTGAAACCTTTTAAGTCAGCGCTCTTTCCGTTCTTGAGGCCCTTCAACGCTGCTTCGACCTCGCTCTCCAAAATTCGGCCCTCCAGACCTTCGCTCCTTCCTCTCGCTTGTATGACCTCCTCAAAACCATGCGATGCGTGTGTCGCATCTGCAAGGACATCCTCCTCCACTTCCGACTGCTCATACAAGTTTTGGCAATGCCTGACAAGGCCTTCCTTATGCGCCAGACCTAGACCTTGCCTTTTCTTTCGAAATTGCTTCCAGAAGCGACCTGGACTGTTCAGGATTTGATCTTCTAACTTGGCCGCGCGGTACTTGCTAAAAGCCCGTTTCTTCCTCCGGACAAGCTTTCGATACTCCTTCTTTAGTTGGCTGCTTAAGTGAGACGGCCCACCTGCTTTCAAAGCGTCTCGAAATCTCCTACGGGCCGTTCGACAATCGGTATCGAACCAGGCTGGACTACCACTCCCTACAAAATCCTTCCTGGATTGCGGCGTAGGAAAAGCCTCTAAGGCAGCACTTTCGATGGCTTCTTCTAAATCTGCAGCTGCTTGCGAAGGATCAAATGCCTTTTGAGCTTTGGGCCAGAAGAAGCAGTTCTACAGAAGAAGCCAACAATTCTTGAAAACGAGGGATCCCTCCTTCTTGTACTCTTGGAAACGTCTGCTCCGCCAGGCTTTCCCCTTTGGCGTTTCCTGCATCTCCTTGATCGGTCCCAAAACTCCGACTTTTGCTACGAAGGTTAATGCTCAACGTCACCAGCCGATGATCAGACTCGGGCAGCTCCTCAAACACGCTCAACAGATTGACGTTCTTGACGAAAGAAGCTGGACAGAGAAAAACATTTACCAAACTTCTTCCGCCACTTGCAGGAAAGCAAGTAGCTTTTCCTTCTCCATCTCCTTTCGATCTACCGTTCAAAATTCTGCAATCTATTGTCCTACAGAATTCGAGGAGAAGTCTTCCCGATGCGTTGACCACGTTATCCTGGGACATTCTTGGCGTTGCGCATTTTACCTCACTAAAGCACTCTGCATCTGGCGTTTGAGCAAGGAGATGGAGGTCCCTGCAATCCATCCAATCAGGAACAACGCCCGTTCTAGCATTGAAATCTCCTGCGAGCAAGACTTCTCCACATAGCAGCGCTTCTCCCACTTCGTCCCTGAGCTGCTCAAAGACCTCCTCCACTGAGATCCCAGCTTGACGATACCATGAAGACTGCTCCGGAGGGAGATAAACTAAGCAAAGGAAAAGATCTCTGCCCGCTGGCCCAAGACCCGAGAATTTTAGCCACATGTGGCTTTCACCCAGACCAGCCTTCCACTGGGAGACACCACTGCATGCCAATGCTTCTGAAACCAGAACTGCCAAACCCCCCGCTCCTCGCCAGGCGGCTTGATGGTTAAAACCACGCGGCTGCTCAAATGTTTGGAACCCTCGCACCTTAACAAGCTTTTCTTGTGGCCTAGCCCAACTTTCGGTCAAGAGAATGACCTCAGTCTCTAATTTACAACTGAGCTCTAAAAGAACATCGGCCTTTTCTTCACCCCAACCCTGGCAATTCCAAAGTGAAAGTCTCAAACTACTGCTACCCCTCCTCTTCCCTATATAATGATTACATATATACCGGCTTAATTATACTTGATTTACTTGATTGTATGTGTAGGACGCACACATGTGCGCATGCTGCAATATTTGCACATGCAGTCCTGCATGGGCGGCAGAATCAACATGACCATCTATTGCATGCATGTGCTTTTACGGCGCGCCATTGCCTTATACTGGCAATGGTCAAATTTTTTGTCACTGCGGCCAGCCTCAACAACGCAGTATTAACCACTGAGAGAAATATAAATATGACGGCACATCTGGCGCATGCAACGATTGATATGATACATGCATGCATTCAATTGCCAAACTGATCCCAAGTTGTTAATTGTTATGTAGTAATATGGTCGCGGGCCATGCGCAGATGCAATAGTCAGTTGCTCGCTTATAACAACAGAGCTTTCGACTCAGTAACTGTTGGAAGCATTTCTCCGGACTCTGCACCACTGCCAGCGTCTTAAGGCTTGTGCATGCTTCTTGTCACGACTTTTGAAAGATGCCTTCCCGCACTAGCTCATCATGCACCTCCTGGCAACGTGGTGTTGTAGATGTGAAGCGGCTAAGTCAAAGGCTAGAAATTTGAAGATACGGCCGGCCAGGTAAGGACGAACGCTTTACTTAAAAGATCAAAAGAACTGCATCAAGGGTTGATCAAGTTGCATTAATTCGGGATCCCTGGTTAGCAGAAAACCGTTGAAGTGTCGTGTGGACTAAAGACGAGACTTCTTGACCAAGCTGTACCTTAGACGTTGCTTACCTTCTATGACAATCTCATTTGATCAAAGCCACCGATCGAATGCTATGGTTGGTGGACGTGCAATCGACTGCTAGCTTAGGTCTTGTTCCATTAACCATTTTCGTTGATGCATCAATTACAAAGCCCCTAACACCATTCAAGAATGTCATCAAAAGGCCGCTGCCTTTAAATGATACTTGGTCTGACACGCGTCTTTTGCAAAGCTCTATACACTAGACTGTTAGGTCTCGGGTCAAGGTCGCGCTTTGATAGTCTTGGAGGTAGAGTTGTATCTCCTCAAGCGTCATCCCGAGATCAGTCTGCACGCGAAGAAAGAACTGTCGTCGAATTGATTGTACTGGACAATCTGCTTAAAAGCGTGCAATTTCGGACATGGGACAGAGCAAGGGAGGGGTGGCAAGACCATCTGGTATCAAACTTCCACTGAAGGTACAAACTGTGGCGAGCATGTGATTCAAAACGTCTTTCGAGCAATCTCCTAGACACATAATGGACCAGCCCCAGAACAGCGAACGTGTGGTGGACCGAGACAAGCCTACTACCTGTGCATCAATCGTATGTTGAAAGCCAAGCAAAACTTCCGATGCAAGGGTCTCAAAAGAGAACAAGGCGTACGGTCACGAGGGGATCCCCCGGAAGCTTGTAAGGGCAATGCACGACGGTGCCCTTGTCCACATACACGTATTTGATGCCCGCGAAATCGAACAAGATAGCCAGCGCCGCTCGGAGGTTGGTCTCCGAGATGTGAGCGGAGTTGATGACCACAACGGGCCACTCTTGCCCGTGCATCCCGGAGGCAAATCTGCAGGTACGCACAAGAATAGGCTCTAGAGGCTGCTCCCTTGCTTCCAGTTCTGCACCCAAACATGTTCACAAACCTGTTACTGATCTCGAGTGCAATTGAAAGGATGCCTTGATGCTCTCCCGAAAAAGTTGCTCTAAAGGGGCTCCAACTGACGGTTATCTAACCGGACCCTGAGATCGAGTCAATGAAGGAGCGCTATAACAATCTGAGATGCGTACCGGTGGTAGATGTCCCGCAGATTGTCGTGTATGTCCTGAGGCCGCAGGGCAGCTTGTGAGCAGACATTGGTGATCCGGCTCATGAAACCGAGGCTGTCCGTCGCGTCCTTGAGAAGCGTGTCGATCACAGCGGGGGGCCCCCGGACACCCTTGAACATGGTGACGTTGGTGAGTGCAGGCACCTCGCTCGCCACTTCTACAGAGATAAAATGCAGACGTCTGTGCAAAATGCCCCGGAACTTTGTTTTCAATCATGTAGAGAGTTTTCTGGAAAGCGGGATTGAGAGGGGTAACAAGAGGAGCAGTCTGGCAACGCTATGTACCAGCTCTGCTGACATAGCGGAAAGGGTACAGAAGGCCCCATGAAACTTGGTAAGCTACAACTTGCAAGCAGACGCCCTCTTTGAACTCGGGTGATGGCCTTTAATGTGGTGCTCTTTTTACAGGCACACAAGAGTGCCATGCAATAAGTGGCTTTTGCAAGCGATAATCGATTCAGCGACAGTAGCAGCTTGGACATGACTAGTCCGCACCCTCAAACACAGAGCAGGTTAACAAAGCAAAAGCCCCGAACTTCGGATAATCTCCAACCTGCCGAGATTCTGGGCTGCATCCTATTTCCCCTCCAATAGAGCTTAGACCTTCCTTGAAGGTGGAAGTCACATTTCTGCTCACCAATGGCGCTTCGAATGTCCTTGCGGCCCTGCTTGTCCAAGAGCAGGTTGATAACTTCCCTCCTGCTGCTCTCGCTAACCTTCAGCTGCGCGTTCGCCTCCGCATACTTCTTCTCTGCCTCGGATGCCCTGCTCGCAGCATCCTGCGCCATTTCGAGGGACACCTTAACATTTCCTTCCGCCATTCTCAGGCTTTCCGCTAGCAGCTTCTGGACAGACGGGCCACCAGCAGCTGCGCAGACCTTGCTTTTCACGTGTTTTGACGGATCTTCCACACCCCTCAATCGCTGCTGACTGTAGCCCTGCAGCAGTACGAGCTGCCCTGCGCCTGACAACCGCCCACTTTTCAGAACCGCCTCCATTTATGCTGAGGTTCAGGGTGTACCGAACGAAGCTACACGAAAGACCTGTGCTGACAAGAAAGACCTGGCTAAACTGGGCCTGAACAGCACCTGACGCATACCTCGTTGGGATCCAAACGCAAGTGCTGAGCCTGAAAAGAGATGCTGTGCAGCTGCCACCACTGGCCCACCAGTGCCAAACAGTTCAGTCGGATGGTAACCAGCTGCATGGATATAAGTCGATTTGCCCGTCAAAAGCAGCCAAAGGAGCACATTTTGAGGACCGGTAGCCATGGAGGCGCAACAGAAGCCGTTAGAATTAGATTTAAAATTCTCAAATTCTCAAATTCTCAATCATGCACATCCGAAGTATCAAAATCTGCCGCGGCCGCGCGCAGGTTTGAGAAGGCGGCCGCGCAGGCTTGCCTCGGTCATTTCGTTTCAGGGTTCAGGGCTTGGCGCCTGTAAAAGCCTAGCCCCGCGGCCGCTTGAGGATGGCGGCCTCGGCCCGGCGCGCGCCTGCGCCCCTCGATCCTGATCGAAACTTTTTCACTGTTGACAGAGGAAATGGTGGCCAGTTGACAACCCTCCTCAAGCACGTCAGCGCATCAAAGAAAATGGCGCATGATCCAGCCAAGCACATCATCATCAAGCTGGATGGCAGCGATGAAGTGCAGGCATCCTATGATGCAGGAAGATCGGCACAGGTTGTCTTGAAGGCTTTAGCGACCAAGTTAAGGAGAGATGGCACGCTGCGGAGGGAGGGTGGGCAAGATGTTGCGGGGGATGAGAAGAAGCTGAAAGCTGGGTGGTACATCTACACGCCTGTCGAAGCAACCGCTACAACGTCAGGTAGGAATGAAGGTCAGCACTCTATCATTGCATACCTTCTGCCTAGCGGTCTACATAAGGCATCCAGCAGAACAGAGGAACAGGATTGGTTTGCAGGATGTTGCAGAAATGTACACTTCTATTTGATCAGGTCAGGTTCAGCAACGTTGCTGGTAGTTGTGCTTCGACGGGCCTGTTGCAAGCGCGGGTGCCACTGCTGCTCACAAAGGCAGCTCGCTTTGCTTAGAGGGAATCGGACAGCACTCTCCACAAGTGGAACCTTAGGTCAGGTACACAACAATCGCACTGAGGTACAGAATCCCAAATCCCTCTGGATTTCCGGACATAGAGGCTTTTGTTATTGTCCCACCTAGTACTCTGAGATTGGGATAGATGACCAACTGTCAAGTCCTTTCTATACTGCATCCGAAGGTGGTTCAGTTGACACCAATACGATCTAGCATGTTGCTTTCGCAGGGGCTCATGAAGAGCCTGAATGGCACCGACGTTTCGTTATGGAGAAGCTCGACCCGCTGACGACATCTTTGATACGCGAGCTGAGTGCCACGAGGTCAGCCAGCAAGGCCAAAACTTCAGAGGTCGACCAGTTGTACCAGGCGCTCCACCTCCGGCTTCTCCCTTACAAGGGGGATCCCACATGGGAAGAAGTCATGGCGCTGCATGCTGAAGGCGGGGAGCCGTCCGCTTTCTGGTAAGGGCCTTTGTTAGTTGTTCACCTTGCTGCATAGATTGCTGCTTCTGGGTCCTTGAAAAGGTTTGTTAAGGGACTGAAACATTCAACTTCATGTAGGATTGTGGGATGAGGATGGTTAGGAAGAGCGTGAGCAGAACGCCGGAGCATACAAAGTCTTGTGGAAAGGGAGATGCAGGCAATAGGACACCATCACGATAGTGGAGATCAAGGGTTTCCAGAAGTGTGGGTTGCTCTTAGAGCGCTTTCTTCCTAGGACTTTTTCCCCCAGGATAAAAGCAACGTTTGAGCATGCACGTTGAAACATGCAAACCAGATAAACGATTCATCGTAGAAGATACCAGGGGTCAAGTGATCTTTGAGCGAATTCAGAAAAGAGGCGAGTATACTGGAGTACCATCTTTGGCGAGGAGCTCAAAGACTTCAAGCTCATCTTATAAGACCAATCGCTCGTCAGGGATGAGCGCGCCGAACCAGCGCAGCGCGAGGCGTACGTTAAGGTACTGGAGGAGAAGATGGCGTTCGCGGAGGACATCTTGGAGATCCGGGACGCTCGCTCAAAGGTGCGCCGTTGTCGGCCTCCCAGTCTGCATAAGTTTGACTACCATTCTTCATGTTGCACATGAGCAATTGTATAGATCTTGCTTCCCGACTCTGTTACTCATAAGTGAACAAGGGCATGTTCTGAGATATGAGATTGAGCAGGTCTGCCACCGAAATGCGTGGATGAAAGCTTGTGCATGTGATGCAGACTTTGAGGTTCAAGCTCAAGGGTGCCATATTCCCAATCCGCAGCAGCAACGACACCACCGTGAACTTCAAAGCCTGGCATAACATGTACGACATGGGATCAGTGGCGGCGATCGAGGTGAAGAAGAAGCTGCGCCCCTCGCAGACGGACCAGCTCCGGATGGAGTTTCTGGCGTGGGCCCAGCAATCCCAATTTGCAGTTGTACAGGTCAGTTTATCAGTAGAAAGAGCCATGGTGATAGGTTTGTTGCATCGTCTGGTAAGCAGTTACTTTGATGCGTTTCCTCTTCCTCCTGTTCAATGCGTCCGAAGTTTCCTGTATGGTCGAGCTTCATTCGAACCACTCTTTGACCGCCTGTAAGACTTATGGCGAGGTCGGCCTTGAACGAGACTCAGATCTGAGTCGTCATTGAAGTGTTGCAAACGGTTGCTAGAGTTCTGCTCATGGACCGTGCTTGAAGTCTTCTTGAGCTGCAAAGCATGGTGGTGTCAATCCACCTGTTGGTGGACAACGCGTCGCATTCCGTTTCCACGACAGCTTTCTGCAAATTGCAGTTTCTTACCGATTTTGCGGTTGGAGGGCGGCGCTTTACTACAGTGGCCGAGGGGCGGACGGCTGGCACAACATTACTTTCAGGTGGGGATTCTTGAGGCTTGCCGAAATCTTTATCATGCCTTCTGCAGTTTTGCTTGTCTTGCCTCCCGATATGAATGAATCGGACGTATGCAATCTCCCGGAACAGAGTTCTACTATTTTGAGATCTCCCTCACCCGAATACAGGTTGTTCAAAGGCATGGACGCGTTCTGGAGCTTCTTCAAGGACGTCGCTAAGACTGCCGTCACCGCTTGCGGCACGACGATTGAACCCCCCGCGTCAGGAGAGTTCTTTAACCCGAAGAGGATCAAGCTTAACCTACCGCCGGGTATGACGGAAGACGAGGTTGGGGAGTTCGTGGAGTCATACTTCAACAAGGATGTTGCGAATCTGGACGATCTGGCATGCTTTGAGCTCAAACCCTTCGTGCCGCAGGAAGTGCTTGCGTTTTACGGATAGCACGGAAAGCTTCTGCGTATGCAGTGCTTTAGGCAGTGGGCATAGTTCTGTCGCAAGCAGTATACACCTGAACAAAGCGACATACAACGGAGCTGGGGTAGATTTGCGAGTCAGATAAAGAGCACGAGTCCCAGGTTTGTTCAATGCGTCTTTCAAGGTTCCATCGTTGCAGACCTGTATTGAACGACGGTAGTTTGCCGAGATCCTCCAATCAGGGCTTAAACCCAAGACATGCAGAGCCATGCAAGGCATGCTTCGACATAGCACCGGAAATGGTGTTGAAATACTGCTTCCGAGGTCACGTTGCAAAGCTAGAGCCTGTCAAGAGCCTGTGTTTCATGAAGGCCGAGCTCAGCTGCCCTTGTCTGCTTGACGGCCGTCATTGATTTCGAGGATTCAATATGCAGCTATAGACCATGGATACTGCATGGGCCGCCGTGTCAATCATTAAACATAATAGAGTCGCCCGGCCCTTGCATGCCGCGCCATGGCCCAGTCTTCAGCGAATTCAAACCGTCATGCAGGTTATGAATTGCTTGTTTTCAGTGGCCTGCGGGGCTGTCATTGACGAGCATTGAACACAGTGCTTTAGCATTGATCAGTGCAGAATGCGAGGACACAGAGTCCTGGAAGGATCCGTTATGATGAACATGCAGACCGAAAGCGTGCACGCACGATTGATTTATGCAGCACTGTTCCGGATACAACCAATCAATGACAATGCTGGGCCGTGTCTCTTTGACAGGTTGTGACACCAACACCTCTACAGACGTTGTGCACCTCACTCAAAAGTACGCGTTTGCACAATTACTCTACTCACGCTCACAACCGCACTCTTTTGATCGCGCCCCCTTCTATACAGGCTGGAACCAGCTGTTCATGTTCACATGGTTCCCATTCATGTGCGCCCCATTCCCCACCCCCCCGTTCGGCGGCGCCGGACTCATGCTCCTGCTCGAAGCCACGGCCCGGGGCTGTCCCCCGGCTTGCACTCCCCCAAACAAACTCGCCCCCACCCCCCCCATCGCCCCCACTGCCTGCGACATGCCCCCCATCCCCCCTGCCTGCGACATTCCCCCCATCCCCCCCGCCTCCGAGATCCCCCCCATCCCGCCCCCCTGCGACATCCCCCCCATCCCCATCCCAATCCCATTCGGCCGCCCCCCGGCGCCCTTCATCTCCGCGCCGATCGGCCGCACGACCGCGCCCCCGCTCGAAGGCCCCGCTGACCCGTTGGGCAGCGGACCGTGCCCTGAGCCGGGCCGGGACGGCGCCGACCGCTGCTGCTGCAGGGCCCTCACCTGCTTGAGCCCCTCGTCGTGGATCCGCTCCAACGTGGACAGCTCGCTCAGGCTCAGTGCCTCGAGGCCGGCACCGTAGAGCGGCGCGTGCCGCTGCATTTCCTCCTGCAGGCTGGCCTCGAGCGTCTGGATGTAGTCCTGGTGCGCGTGCAGCTTGGCCTCCATGCCGTCGATGTACGCCTCGCAGCGCAGGATCTGGACACGTGGCACGGGGTAGGTCAAGATATGTTTTTTGGTAGATTGGGCAGTCGCCAAGAGCTGAATCCTCCTTAGCATCCCGGTGCACCTTGCAACACGGGGTCTAGAGAACCAAGAAAATCCTAGGAAGGCATCCAGATAGGACAGCGGATCCAGCTAAGGAAGTAGCTGAGAACGGAGAGACAAGGAGGACGTACCACTCGAAGCAAAAGGGACGAAGAAAAAGACACCGCTTGCAGAGACCGAAAGTAGAGCAATATGAATTAGCTCTGGTAAATGCTTGGAAAGTACAGCAAAGCGAAAGAGGAGGAGGCAAGAAGACTTACTTGTCTCGAGACAGCCCCAACGGCAATCGAGCACAAAGACAGACAATGGCATCTGAAACTCTTCTGAGGAAGACAAAATATTGCCCCCACCTGCTCCTCCTTTTCGCGGAGGCCCGTCTCGGTCTGGCCCATCCTGGAGTTGAGCCGGCGGACCTCGTTCTCGAGCGTCTTGCGCAGCTCGTCCTTGCCCACCGTCTCGCTCGTGACGCGCTTCATCTCCTCGTCGAACTTCTGCCGCGACGTCTCCGCCGTCTTGAGCCGCTCCGCCAGCACGTTCTTCTCCTTCATCACGCGCTGCAGCAGAAAATGCGGGTTTGAGTGGCTTGATTAAGCTGTTGAGAGCTTCTCTGATCTTTCTTTCATTGGATTTCAGCGTCTGCGAAACGTTTTGATTAGAAAGCAAGTGAGACCCGTCCTGAGCCGCTCCGCCCGCATGTTCTTCTCCTTCATCACGCGCTGCTCAGCGAGACGGAAACAGTTTCGTGATAAGGAACAGTCTCTCTGTCTTCTCCGACGTCTTCGCAAAGGCTAAGAAACCAAGAAACACGGTAGGCTTGACGGAGAATGTAACACGGGTGAGGCAACAATAAATGCAAACTCAAAGCCCTCCGAATACGTTGAAACCGCTTCAAACCCCTCTCCCAAATTAGCCATTCCACGTCGAAGCCCAGCTTGGGCTCGTCCTGCAGTTCTTGGTCTGTGCAAATTGCGCCCCTGCCTCGCATTTTTTGTCCGGGCTTTAGGTTTTTCAAAGTTCCCGTTCAGGACCCCCACTCCCGAACGAAAAGCTCGTTTGAATTTGAAGCCCACCTTAAGCTCGTCCTTCTTGCGGCTCTTGATCTGCGCGAGCTGCGCCTCGGCCTCTCGGGCGCGCTGCTCGAGCGCCTTCCGCTCCGCCTTGAGCGTCTGCACCTCCTCCTCGCGCTCGCTGCGCACCCACTCTAGTTGCCCCTCCAGCTCGCGCACGCGCTCCGCGCCCTCCTTGCCCTCCCGCCGCACGCGCTCCGCCTCCGTCTTCGCCTCAGCCTAGTTACAAGTTCCGGATTAGCTCAGCATATTGGAATTTATTGATGAATAAAGAGGAGATAGCGTGGTGTGCAATCTGAGGGTCAGAAAATCGTGAAGGTCAGAACCTGAGTTCACATAGTGAAGGGCAAGAGAAGGGTCGTCTTATATGAGACAACGACATACGTCTTCATCAGTCCGGAAGTTATGAAAGGCCCGGCGAAACAAAGAGAAACTTGGTAATGAATGGAAGACAGAAAATTTCTCGAACTTCCACCTAGCAGTCACCTCGACAGCAGCTCTCATAGCAGAAACACACTGAACTGACACAGTAACAGTCACGAGCGACTCCCTTGCGACCCCCTTCCAAAACAACCGAGTTATGACTATGGAAATAAACGCAAGACTGCAACTCCCGACTCACCTTGGCTTTCTGTGCGGTTTGCTCCGCCTCTGCCAGCTTGGCCTGCAGATCGGCCCTCTCCTTGGTCAAGCGCAGGATCTCCCCCGCCTTGTTCGCCTTCAGCTTGCCGAGCTCTTCCTCCGTAGTTGCCAGCTGTCGCGCCACCGCGGCTCGCTCTGCGTAGGCGCCCTCCACCGCTTGCCTGCGTAGAGTGACGAGGCGTCGTTAGCCAACGGTTACCACATTCCTTGTCAATCAGAGGGTGAGCTGTGAAACAAAGCCCTAGCCAGACGATTGCAATTCACAGTTGAGCTGAAGTTAGAACATCGGACACTTTGACCGGAGTTGGCCAAATCTGCATTCCTTGCACTTTGCGTTGGATATGTAGGATGTCGCTCCAGAATGTCAAATTCTGGACGTCACGGAACTACATCCTGTATATCCGACAGCGCTTTTGAGCTTTCGAAAGTCCCATGGTCTGTCTTGTCAATTCAAAAGAACACCTTTGTGAGGAGGTCCAGGAAGCGACCAGACCCGAACGGGGAACAACAAACGAACCTTAGCATTGTCAAGGCGGGCTGAGCAGCCCCGTCTTCCTCCCGGACAACAAACGACAGGACGTCCAAACCGAGGTCCGAGTCCAGCGACGGCTTCCCGCTCTCCCGACAGCTGCTGCATGCGCGGTCCACGATGCCACGCAGCATGCGCTCACGGGAACTCTCGTCCCCGTACACCTGCGGGGGAAGGAAAGTTTAGCACGTGAGCAAAGTGTTGGTCAGAAGCAGTAGAAGAAAGTGCTTCAAACGACCTACTCATGACGGTCAAAATTGCGTCGATATTACATCCGTGTACAGCCAAAGGTCTGCGTTGAAAAATTGATTTCTCGGTTGCATCTGAAGATGCAGGCATGACCTCTTGACGACAGCGTCAGTTGCAACCGTTGGCATGAGCAGCGAAGCACAAAGCCGGATCGCTGTTCACTGGAAGCAGCCAAATCCGGCAAATACAGCGACTCTTCTTTTCTTACGATCCGCACGCCCTCCTCACCTTGAACATGATCGAGTATAGCGTGCTGACGTACTCCCGTGCCCGCACGTCCTTGCTCGCGGCCAGAGCCTCCGCGAGCGCCAGCACAGCCGGAAAATCGTCGTCCTCGGGGGGGGCGCCCACCTGCCCGTCGGACCCCCCCACCGGGGGCGCCACACTCAGCCTCAGGTCCAAAATCAGTCGCTGCGACCGCCGCCGTTCCAAAACCACCGCGACCGCCTGATCCCCAAACACCCCCCGCGAGATCGCGCTCTCAAACACCCGCTGCGCTTCGAGCCGGAGCGCGGGGACCGTGAGCATTTCCACGAGGATGTCGACATCCGCGATGCGCCAGCAGGCGGCGGCGGTCGCCTGCGCGGCCGCGAGGGCGGCCCCTGGGTCGCCGCCGAACATCCCGCCGCCCATGTCGGGGATCATCCCGTCGGCGAACATGACCTCCCCGGAGACGTCCGCGCCGAACATCATCGAGTGCGCGGCCTGCGCGGCCGCGGCTGCGGCGCGGCCGTTCACGCTGTCGAGCGACGCGCGCTCCTCGTCCGAGTCGACGTCGTGCAGCAGCGCGGATGCCACGTCAGCACGGAGGCAGACGGTGGACCGGATGACGTCGAGCACGAGGGGGGGGATCGCGGGGCCGAGGCGCTTGAGCTTGGTGCGGATCGCGTACGCGGCCGCGGGCAGGTTGCCGCTATCGGCGGCGGCCTTGAGGACGAAGCTGATGGTCGCGGCGAGCGACTCGTCGTCGTTCAGGACCTGCGAGGTGGCCGGTGATCGTCAGCAGGTGAAACAGGTACTGTTCGATAGTCCCCATGAAGAATCAGCCTGGTGGCCCAAAATGCAACTTATGTCTTAACCCACGGACCTGGAACTGACGCGCCATTCCACAAAAAGCAAAAGGCCGTCCGCAAATCGCTTAGTTACCCTTACCAGCCAAACCTCCGGTTGAAAATCGAAAAATTGTCAGGTGGACGAAGAACCAATAACCTTGATATATCGGCAATTCCCGAGATCCGCAACCTATTCCCGACTGAAACCGTTCCTTAATCGGACCCCTACACTCGATCCTTTATCGAACGTTCCGAACAATCACGGCACTCTCACCTGCATCAGCTCCAGCCCATGCGCCAAGACCTGTTCCCACGCCTCTGCGCCCACTTCCAGGTGGCTGACCGACGCCAAGAGGGGCAGCCGCAGATTGAGGTCCGTCTCGGGACTACTCAGGCGGCCCACGAGCGACGCAGCGATTGCGACGTGCTCGTCTCGGTCCACCATTTTGGGCGCGAGCGCGATGAGGTCGGGGAGGAGGTGCTGGGGCGCGCGATCCAAGACCTGGGGGGAGTGGGAAGTTCTCTAAGACAGCATTCCAGAGATCTTTCTTTCGATGAGAAAAGACGTGTATGACGAAATCCTTGCGGGTTTCCAGTCAATCTCATGAGACTGTTGGTGTGGCGCATCCGCTACATTGGCCAGATTGCCTGGAGAACGGGCACTCTTTCCAGGATAGGACAAAGGCTTGTCAGAAGACTTGAGACTCTACCCAGATTTTTTTGGAGAATTTTTGAGATTTGAGAGTAGTCGAGAGACTTTGAGAAGCAGACGGTGAAGGACTGCCGACCAGTCAAGTCCAACAGCTGCTTTTGAAACAAGAAAACCCGAAGAGACCTCATCAGAAGCTCAGACTGACTTCAAGCAACGACTGCCACTCCGTCAACGTCATCAGACGAGCAGAAAAGTTGCAAAACCTTTCGCGACTTCTAAAATTGTTCTTACCAGCTCGACTTTCTGTGCCGAGTGCGGCCGCCTCGGCCCGCTGTCCTGCGGCTCTCCCAGCTCCGCGTGGTGCGGCATCATGCCGTCCAGCTGTCGCAGCGCGTTCACAATCAACCCGAGCAGCTCCTCGCTCTCCTCCTGCCAACTACTCCGCACTCGATGGTGCGCTCCCCCGCCCCGCACGTTCGGTAACGGTTCGGCGTGCGCTGGTAACGGCCCCGACCCGCTATCAGGCTCTGGGGGCGCGTCTAGCTCCGACGCAGGAACAGCGTGGGAGGGGTCCAGAGACGATGACTCGCTGACGTCGTCGGGGGTCACGCTTTCGACTGCAGAAGCATCCGACGCCTGCGGAGGGGTATTCACTCGGGGGGGCGTTCTGGGCGCCGAAACCGACGGTTGCGAGGCCGCGGCGTGCTTCAGCCCGCTGTTGAGAACCGGCGGGCCGGGGTCGATCGACGATGACGTCATCTCGGCCCTCGCTGCGTCGCTCCGGACGCACTCCGAGTCCCCTCGGACTGTGAACCTTTCGTCGACGACGCCGCCCTCACCCCCCCCGAACCGCACGTGCTGCAGCTGCTGGGGGGGCTCTGCATCCGGCACTCCCCTCCCCCCATGATGCCGAGAATGGCTCGGCGCCTCCCCCCCTCCAGTGACCTGCCCCCTGTGGTCCGCCCAAAACGGCCACGGCTCGGTCGCTTCTGCGACCGGAGGCTCCCCCCCCTCCGGCGGCGCTCGGAACTCCTCCCCCCCGCGCTGCTGCGGCGTGCAGCACACGACCATGATGTCCAGCAGCAAGTCCAGCACGTCCTGCTGGAGCACCTTCACACCCATGAGCAGGTCGATCAGGCTGGGCGCCGCGAACGGGTGTGAATACTCCCCGGCGTCGCCCCGGCCCTTGCCGAGCATGCCCGGAAGTTTGGTGGGCATCAGCAGCCGCTTAAGTTTGTTCGGCTCGTCGAGGTACAACCGGAGCCCGGTGAGGAAGGCGCCGACTGAGGACGGGTCCATTAGGAGGCGCTCCTGGAGCGCAGCCTGGAGCTGCATCGGGTCGAGCAGCAGCGCAGGGGGACCGTCGGAGGGGTTCCCGAGGTGGAAACCGGTCCTGCCAGGTAGAGGAAGGCGGCACAAATTGTCAGCACGTAACCAAAGGCAGCTGCGACCAAGAGGTTTGTGTATTGCTGTTCCAACCGTTGCGTTTCTTACATCGTCTCGGTGTCCTTGCTATCCCGCGTTCGGATCCAATCTGCTGAACTTAATGGAAAGAGCACAGACTTGTTGCAGGCACCCAACATGCGCAGCTCATCAGACTTCCGGCGCTCAGAAGTTATTAAGCAAACTTCCCCAAGCTGACCATTCCAGATGCTAGGGTACAGGTCGTATGCAAGTCCTCAATCCCAGGCAAAGCCAGCCTACAGCAGAACTATCGCCAAAACAATATCCGTTAGGAACGACCAGGAAGTTCATCAAAATCGTTCAAAACAGAACCTTGTTGGCCCGAAAGCGTTACCCTAACGCCCTGAAGGCCCGCATACCTCGCAAGAAGCGTCCGGAACAGGTCCTCGTCGTCCCCCTCGAAGCCGTCCTCGCTGTCGTCCGAATCTAGGAAGTCGTCCGGATCCGTGCTGAGCGCATCGTCCGGCTCGTCGTCCGACAGGAACACTTCAAGGTCCGCAAACTCCATCCAGGGGCAGCAGTCCAGCACCTCGCACGTGAACACGACGGCCTCGCGAACAACGAATCCGGCGTCCGGATCCAGCATGTCGGACACCTGCGGACAGGAAGTGACTTTCTAAGCGACGATGGTAAGCGAGGTCTGGGGCCCTGGGAAGAAAGGGGAAACAAGCACGGAAGGAAGGCAACGAAAGTACGGCTGGGGAAACAGGAAACACACAAGATAGAAGAAACTCGAGATTCCTGGGCTCTAAAGCAAGACAAAAACCACAGTCTTCGGGCGTGATTTTTTCTTTTTGGCATGACATACTGCGAATCTTAAAAGATGCATCACAAGCAATCAATAACACGCTGCGTACACGCAGTCGGACCACCCATGCTCCGCTTTGGCATGTCATAAGATTTCGTTAGGTCCTGAAAGACGACTTACATCCAGTCATTCGACCCGCTGCAACAATGTCAATTCACAAAAGCTCCGCTTCCCACCTTCATGAACTGCAGCACGCTGTTGTTCCAGGTGCGCGTGCAGATGGAGGACTCCTTCCAGACGGTCCGCTCCGGGTGCTTCTGGTTCATGACCGCGATGCGGTAGCGCACCCAGTAGTTGCGGTCCAGGTCCGCCGCCACCGTGGCCGCGTCGCTCTCCAGGTAGATGCACAGCGTGTCAAACGACTCGTACACGCCTGGGGTGGGGAGGGGAAACTAGAATGAGACTCGTTGCTCCACGTACCAGACACGTGATGCTTTGTTGTTTCGACATATTGTAACAGAAGGGACATAAAGAAGCAGACGTGGGAAGTGGCCAACGGTCCTGAGTTGAGAAACCAGGATTTCAGAATGCTGGATCGCTCTTGCGTCAGACAACCCTACTGCGTCAGCCCGTTTAAAGTCGCTTTTCCTCAACCTAAACCATTTCGCACTCGGAACTGGCGTGCAGGGACACATCGTTCCCAAAATCTTTGGCCACACAAGTAGGACCTTTTCCAAAGCAGTAAGCTGGCCCCTCACCGATCCGCAGCTCCACCCCCCCGGCCTGGAAGAACTTGGAGAAGATCTTGCGCGTCTCCATGATCTCCTTGAACGCCAGGAAGTTCTCGACGCGCCACGTGAACAGCCCCCGGTACGACCCCAGCACCGCCGGCCGGCCGCCGTCCCACCCCCCCGGCGCAGGCAGCCCCAGATCGGGAGGAGGCTCCGACGCGATCGCGGTCTCCTTTAGAATCAGTACCTCGGCCGAGAAGACCACGGTGTCGTTCACCAGAAACCCCGAGTCTTGGTCGAAGAGCGCGGTGAGCGTGATGAACTCGCGCCAGCCCCAGTCTTTTGCGGCCTTGGAGTATCGGTTCTGGGACTCTTTGTTGACAGACCGGTCGTCGGCCTTTTGGTTGACGACCGACAGGCGATGGCTGACGAAGCAGGACCAGTCAATGCCGGCGGAGCGGGGGTCGGTGACCTCCAGGAACATGGACAGATGCATGGGGGGCTGCGACTGGCCTGGGGTCGCAAAAGAGGGGAAAGGGACTCATCAGTCAATTTGCAAAAGCGGTGATTAGCTGGATGGGATTGGGTGATTTGGCAACGGATCTGAATGTCATCCAGTGTCCTGAAGATGGACAGGTGCATGGGGGGCTGCGACTGGCTTGGAGTCGCAAAAGGGGGACGAGGGAGATGATCGTCGATGTTAAAAAGCTGGATGGGACTGGGTGGTGTTGAAGAACTGAGTGCTTGAGTTGGCAGCGGACTTGAATGTGATCTAGTGTTCTGAACATGGACAGGTGCCTGGGGGGCTGCGACTGGCATGGGGTCGAAAATGGAAGCAACAAAAGTTCAATACAGAATGGACCAGGGAGTAGCATGAGAAACGTAGAATTTTGTGTGTGGTGTTAGGAGACTGCGTGCTTCACTTAGCAGATTGATGGCAGGGACACTGGATCGTGCATTGGCATTAACAGGGATGGGACAGGAGCTTGAAAGCCTAATACTTGCTTACAGGCAGAGATAAAGATGGGAGGGCTTAAGTGGCTGATTCGATGAGGGGGGAGGGGAGGGATTGATACACACTCAATGAACAGATTCAGTGAATTGGAGGAACACATGGGAATGATCGAATGCTGTACTACAAAACGAGACAAGCAGGGGAGACACAAAGTTGATAAACCATGTCAGAAACGAAGGGGCAAAGAGACGGCGCGGCAGGGAAAGGTTTATAACCAGGAGGCAGCGTGGTTAGAGAGGGACAAAACATTTAAAAGGGAGCAAGAAGGCTGTCGCCACTGAATTCGCCTGCCAGAAACTTAGACTATGATGTGAGAAAAGCAGCGACAAAGAATGAGTTTGCCGCTCTAGATTCGCCTGCCAGAAACTACGATACGACAAAAGCAGCGACGAAAAGTGATTTCCAAACCAACAGTAGACTGGTTTGCGGCAGTGTCTGATACAAAGTCAGGATTAGGGAATATCATGGCAGCATTTCTGAGCTCATCCTGTGGATGCCTGACTCAATTGCAGAGAGTGCCACCAAGTGTACCAATGATTGTACATCATTTGGGATCCAAAAGCAATGATCTCCTTGCAAACCGGCGCTCAACTTGTTGCACAAGGATCAGCGTGGAAACTCAGCTACGCAAAGTACCAAAACCTAAGCAGAAAAAACCCAACTGCAACCAGAGGGATGAAGAAGGAACAATGTACAGGCCAAGGCAAAGCAGGGGCTGACAAAGGTGTACAGAGGGGAATTGAAGGTCAAAGCAAAGCATGGCCCACATCCATTGCTCAACGATAGAATGCAACCTGAAGAGAGCACATCACTACTTCCTGCAATTGCATCAACTGCTTGTCATGGAGACCTTGCTATGAAGCGTTCCAGCTGCCTTTTGGGCCCCTTTCTTTAAGGTTACACCAGAGACTTTGCTGATCTCAAGTCGTTGATGTCCTGAATTGAGAACCAAACCTTGTCATTCGACATTATTGCACTTATTCTATTTGGGGAACACCACCACTTAGATGATTTTTCTTCTGCAAGAAATGGCCCTACGTCCCATTCCTTCCCCTCAAAGAACATTTTGAGTACAGAGGCACACAATGGCATTCTTGTCAGCCGTATGCAACAGACGACAGTGCCTCCCGCCAAAATGTCCACCACTCGGCAAAAACCCTTGGCAAATATGCCGGTACAGGCTCAGAGCCAAACCCGGAAGTGATGCACACACACACACCAGAGCAGTGTCTTCTCAAGCTGCTAGTTCAGAATGATGGGGAGAATGAGTGCCACATTCTGGCGCCCCACCTCGGGGATACACAATCAGGCGGCAGTCCCTGTTCCCGACTTGGAAGCGCCGGCTCTTGATGCAGAGGCCCGTGATCTTGCGCTTCTTCAGCAGGTCCTTCAGCTTGGTGAAGTTCTCAATCCGCCACAGGAACTTTCCCTGAAAACCATCGCTCTTCTTCGACCCGCCCCCGGCCCGCCCCCCAGCAAACCCTGGCGACAGGTTTTTGGAGAAGCTGCTCGACTCCTTGATGATATGGAACGACGCGCTGAACACCGCCGTGTCCTCAACCAGGAACCCCGTCTCAGGGTTCAGGAAGTCATTCATCCGCATGTAGTCGTTCCAGCCTAGCGACGTGTTGTCCCCGCTCTTGTTGTCCGCAGCAAAGCGGCCGTAGGAGTCCCGGTGCATGTGGCCTGACCCCCCCTTCTGGTTAAGAACCGACATCCGGAAGAGACACCAGCAGCTGCGTTCGACCTGACCGGACTTTTCCGTGTCCTTGCTTTCTAGGCACATGGAGAGGTAGTCCACCCCCCCGACGGAGGACTGATACACGCTGAGGCGCAGATTGCACTCCCCAGCGGGAAAGACCGGGCTCATGATCTTCTGCGTCTTGATCATCTCCTTGAAGAGAGAGAGGTTGTGCACCTTCCATGTAAACTTGCCGCTCAGGACCTCAGGCGTGGGGCCAACTGAGAGCGCGAGCTCATTCTCCCTGGAGAAGGAGACAGACTCGTGGAGCACCAGGATCTCTGCGCTGATCAGGACGGCGTCGCTGACCAGAAACCCCTGGCTGGGGTCCACCAGAACCGACGCCTGCGCAAAATCGCACCAGCCGTGGCTCTTCTTCTTGCCGCTGAAGCGGTGCCAGGAGTCCCGCTGGATGGACTTGGCTGGGTCTATGCAGTTGACCACGCACAGCCTGTAACTCGCGAAGCAGTCCCAGCGCGCCGAGTTGCCCCGGGGGTCGCAAACTTGGAGGTAGATGGAGACGTAGCCTGGGAGGGCCTGGGAGTCGCCCTTAGGGTAGACTAGCAGCCGGCAATCATAGCCGCCTACTTCAAAATATCTGCTCCACAGAGAGCGCTGCTTGACCTTGCCAAACTGAGCGATGGTCCATTTGCAGTACGCGGCGTGGCCGCCCCGCTTCTCCACCACTACCGACTCCTGCCCCCCCTCACGCGGCTCGTCCGCATTGTCCACCCCTCTAGCCACAGCCTTTGCGGGAACGACCTCCATTTCTTCCACTCCCGCCAAGCTTCTTTACTCACACACCCCTTAACATCTGTGACGAGGACCTAGAGACGAGACCTGCCAGCCCGAAGGTTTGACCTGCAAAGGATGGTGTCATTAGCAACCTAACACACTACACAACTTCCTGGATCATAAACCCATCCAAATGAGTCACACAGACAATCCGGTGAACTTGCAGTCCAAGCCATGGTAAGTGTTAAACCCGCTGCTTTCTCAGATCTGGATCTTGTAAGCATTCTGCACGCTGCGACCTAGCAGACACAACACAAAGAAACTCTTCGAGCTCCTACTGCATCGTTAACCTCCTGAACCACATGAAATAGCACGAAAACACCGGCAACGGAAATATAAATTTTGTCTTGGCCTTCAATTGGCAAAGCTAGCCGACGGCCTACCTTGCCCGTTTATGCGTCAGCCCGGCGGTGCTCGACCACAAGCAGATACAAAGAGAATGCTTCGGCCGTTCAGAAACGCCCCGCAATATGGTCCCTCCTCAGACTTGAGCTTCATTCCTAACAGCGGATGTCCACCATTTTGCCCTGCCACATCAACCCAAGATTCAGGCTCAGCCTGGACCAGTCTGACGCTTGCGGCTTTGCACATGATGATCCACCAAACAGACTGCATGACCTGATAATGGTTATCTCCATTGTGGCCATGTAGTTATTTCCTAACCATGAGTCGGTGTGATCTGATGAATATGACTCTTTATGGATTCGATAGATATGTACCTACCCGGTCAAAGCACGGGTTTAGAATTGAAGGAAAGGGCTTGGTCACTCTGTTTGCGGTAAAGGATAGTACCCAGTGTTGGCATCGGTCTAGTTCTTGCAACATTGGAACCACAGCGCCTAGCTGAAGCTGGGCCTTTCCATTTTCCTTCAGTCTCAGAGTTCAAATTCAAACAATGCCTGCAAAGTCTGTCTAAGTTTGTGCGTGACTTCTGAATCTCTGCATTGGCCATTGCATGATGCAGATGATGCCTGGCGTTCTTGATCGTTAATTTGGAGCTTGATCAGCACACGCCCCTGCAGGGTGCACAACGACCAGCCTGCAGTTGTCTAACGGCGTGGTGGCCATGATGATGGTGGTGGTTGAGAAGTGTAATGAGCCCCTCATGGACAGCACTGACTTTGATAGGCGGGCTGTGGCCCACCTGGTGGTGCCAAAGTACGACGTGGCCGTCATTGGAGCTGGCGTGTCTGGGCTCCAGGCCGCACAGGTGAGAAAGAGAAAGGCTGAGAGTGCAGAAAGCAATATTGCTCGATGATTTGCAATGAAAAGTGGCCTTGGGTGCTTGAATGAGTCTTCTTCGTTTTCAAGAGGAAAGCGCCGAGTCTCGATCTTTCGCACGAGTGAGTGTCAAAGCTCCAACAAAATATTGTTTGAAGGTGGCTTTCTGAAAGTATGTTCAATAGCTGGTTTGCTAGAGCCTGCATTTCAACTCATACCACCACAGAAATTCAATATTAATCGCAGCTTCCCAAGCAATATCTCGGTTCGTTCGTCTGAAGTATACCGCAGTGCTTGATATTTTTTGTCTGAAGTTTTGACGATGATTTCCAATTGCTGGAGGAAGTTCTCCAGATATTGGATACACAATGCACCATCATTTATAAGCCAGATAGAATAAGCTCTTTTGTTCACAGTCCCACTTTGACCATCTAGTACACTTCTCTCAAGCTCCTTCCTCATACCACTGCCCCTTTCTTTGACTATGCCATCTACATCTGATCAGCCCCCAAATAGGGTACAAAAGAGCTCAATTTGTAAACAGATTGACCTAGCAATTCTTTTCGGTCCACAGCTAAGGAAATGATGACTTGGCTCTTTCAGGCTCTGCGACAGCAAGCTCCAGAACTGAAGGTGGTGGTCCTGGAGGCAAGTGGCCGCATTGGGGGGCGCGTCAAAAGCATCAACGGGATTGCGCCCTGGCCTGTCGAGGTAGGAAGCCCTCACTGATAAGCTTCTGGAGCTTTGGATTGCATGCTGTCATTTGATTGGATTGCATGTGTTGTTTAATCAGGTTCGCTGGTTCTGACTCCCAAGCATTTGGGCAAGCACGGCTGAGAGATTGATAACAAGCGAGCTGAGATCAATCTTGGAAAAAGAGACCTGTCCTTTGTCTCCTTGTCGACTTGTCCCTTTGTCTTCTGAGTCGTCTTCTCATATCCTGTCTTTCCTCAATCTGGCCACGTTGAAACAACTAAAAATAGGTTCTAAGGCCCCAAGCACGCTTCCTGACTTTCTGGTGGCCAAACTCTCATGCACTTGGCCTTTGGCGCTGATTCAGAGCCTTGCCCTGTTCTTCATCTATATTTGGGGCCTTGAAAGCGGTACAACTCCAAATTAGACACAGGTGTAAAAAGTTTGAAGATGCAATATCCCCAGTCGGCCCCAAGATTCTGCATGTGAGGCGAGGCTGCATCACGAAGTTGTCCAATCCAAGCAGCTAAAACTTCTGCTGTAAAAAGGTTGGCTTAATGCTTGAGGCCTGATTGCTTCTTGAGTTTCTTGGCTGCACCGCCGTGCACGTCAGACCGCAAACTTCCATACAATCTGGAGGTTGTACTGTTTTCAGTCGATTTACACTACTCGGGGCGAACCTCGAGGTGATCATATATCAGGGCATGGCACGGCAATGGCTTCAGTAGTGATTAGCTGGCAGGCTCTAAGCTGTGCAAGCCGTGCGACTGCCCCTTCCTCGACCGCAACTGATTCCTGCATCCGAAACCAATCCACGAAACTGCAGGTAGGCCCCAACTTTCTGCAAAACGGCGACAGCACCAGTATCAAGAAGCTGGTCGGCGCCATGGGGTGCAAGCAGCGCAAATACCCCTTCTTGGGCCGCTCTTTTGGACGTACTCAACACTTACACCCTGAAACCCTTAAACAGTACACTCCTAATCCTGCAGGTTGGCCCCGAGTTCCTGCACGGCGGCGACAGCTCCAGTATCATGAAGCTGATCGACGCCATGGGTGTAAGCAACGCGATTGGCTCCACCAATCTCGACCGGTTACCACCTACTACAAACGTACCAATTCCCTAAAAATTCCAGATTTCAAATCCTATTGTTTCCGCAGGTCGGCCCCGAGTTCTTGCACGGCGGCGACAGCTCCAGCATCAAGAAGCTGGTTGACGCCATGGGGTGCAAGCAGCGCGAGTATCCCTTCCCGGACCGCTACTACTTCGGACGCGAGCGCCGGTGGCTGCCGTCCGATTCGGACAACCCGGACGTCGAGCGCGTGCACGAGATCTTTGGCGAGATGGCAGAGCAGGACGAGAGTAGACCGGACGAATCGATGCGAGCGTACCTGGAGAGAAAGGGGGTGAACGAGAACGTTATGGAGCTGGCGCAAGGTGAGGGGTCTCGAAGGTCCAGCGGTCTGGAGCCGCTTGGTTTCGAGTTTGCCAATAGGAGCTCATCCATAAGCTGTAGGGCTCGCAGGATCGGGGCCTGTGCTTTGGTTGCAAGTTCTGCTTGTGGATTTGTTTCGTTAGTTTCTGAGAGTCGTCCTTTACCAACCCGCTCCACTGGGGATCCGGATTTCGGACTGTGGGAATGGGATTTGAATTCGGAACTCGTAAAGGGCAGCCGAAAAGTAGGGAAGGGCCGCCCACGAGCATCTCCACAGGAATCGATTATCATTCCGTAGGTCAACTGAATGTTGAGACTTCATCGTACAGTCGCTTGGAGCACTTGTCAAGGTGGTCAACCCGAACCTTAACAAGCGGTCCAATTCACTTCCTAGAAGTTTGCAAGGCAGTTTGGAAACGAAGCCTTCGCGAAAAATGGCCTCAAGCAACTGTACTGTCTGGTGATGGAGAAGATTCGTGCAAAAGCGCATGCGCTCTTTAAATTTTAGGGTCGGAGCACAGAGTTCTGACCATCTTTCGATGGTTACCCAATTCGAACATGAAGGGCCGCCCAACAGGAGTTTCGCCTGACACCCTCGAAACCATTTTGCGAACTCCTTTACATCCCTAGTGACGTAGGCTAACGACGTGAAGTGCGCTTCGGACATATTGGGCGTTTGCAAGCGGATCGATTCAGACCCTTTGAGGATTGAAGTTCACAGAACATCGATTGGGTGAAACTTGCAGAACGTCGAAAGCCTGAGCTCCTTACGCTTCCGCAGCCATCTATGCCAACAACTTTGGGTGCTCGCTGGACGGCTAGGGCGTGCGCGATTTGTAACACTTCATACTTTTCAGCAGGAAACCATACAAACTCAAAGATTTAAGGGTTCGCCCTACCGCAGCCACCTACGCCAACGACTTTGGGTGCTCGCTAGACGAACTGGGTGCTTTGCAGGAGCAGAAAGTTAAACCCGAGATTGGCGGGTAATAAACACAACAATTTCGACTCTCGGCTGCAGCCATCTACGCCAACGACTTTGGCTGCTCGCTGGACGCGCTGGGCGTGCGCGAGAGCATCCACGAGGCGCAGAACTGGAGCTACGGCGACACGTACTTCGTCCTTGACCGCCCGCTGCAGGCCGCCGTCGACTTCCTGGCGCAGGGACTCGAGGTGAGGAAGTCTCTTGTGTGTGTTTCTAAGGCACGATTGAGAAATTTGAGTTGAGCACCTGCGATGGAAGATGTCGAATGTTTGGCGATGACGCCTGGCATTGCGAAACGAAGGACTCGTTGCACCTGTCGCAGTGGAGGGCACCAAAAGATGACGAAACTGGCAGAGGAAAGGGATGTGCGCACAAGGAGCGTGTGTAGTCGTCTTCTGTGCTCGTCGATCTAGGTTGGAAAGTCATTTCTTAAGAAAAGCTTCGTCTGTGTCCTGGTCCACCTGGCAATGATCCTTTCAAAGGCCTTGTTTCTTCAGGTTTATTCACGCCCTTCGGTTCGCATACGAACGGCAATCGCCTATCTCTGGTTTACTCTGGGCGTTGAAAGCAAGGGTGGCTTGCAAGGGGACATCAGACGGCACCACTTCGCCGCAGAATGTGGGTCGAACGTCTCCCTGTCCCGAGACGTTGAACTTTCGCTTTTAGGTACGAAAAAACTGGCCAGTACAGCAGGTCGAGTACTCGACGGAGGCGGGGGTGCGCCTGACGAGCCGGGAAGCCAACGTGGTCCTCGCCGATAGAGCAATTGTTACCGTGCCCATTGTAAGTCTTTACCCGTAGCGCTTGTACCTCCCACTCACGCAAATCTCTGGGCTTCTCATTCCATGTCTGAGAGCACTGCCGTCTTCGTCGTCTCGACAGGTCCCTTCCCGTCTCAACGGGTTCGACAAACTCCGTCAATACGTTTCCTCTTATTCGGTGGGCTCGGAGCTCTGCTAACGTCGTGAGCTCGACTTGGTCGCATCTTCCTGTTTCAGCCTCCGTCGAAAAGTTGTGCTGCTCCAACTGTTCCGCTTGCTCTATCTTTTTTGCACCATGTCTGCTCGCAGTGCGACTGAGCCGTCCGGTCGTCACGAGAGACGATTTGCATGTTACCGCTGGAGGAGCATTCTTGGTCCGGCATGGGTCCTTGTTCAAGGTCAAATGGAGACCCTCGTTTCCTTCCTTACTAACCCTATTTTGATCAAATGAAGGCCCTCGTTTCTTTCCTTACTATTCCTATTTCGTATCCTCGCCGCAGACTGTGCTCCGTGATGGTGACATCGAGTTCTGCCCCCCTCTCTCCGAGTCCAAGCTGCGGGCCGCCCGGTCCATCGGCATGTCCACCGCCCTCAAGGTGAGGCCTTGCGTCCGTTGAAACGGACAGAAAACCCATTTGCGGTGAGGTTGCTTTGATCATTACAGTGCTTCGACATTTGGTTTACATCTCAGCTGGAGGTAGGGTAAGATTTTGTGTTCTTGGACGGGAGGGGCGAGGCTGGTAAACCCGGTGCTTTTGTCAAGGCGTTACCAAGAGCCAGCCCACCTCTTAACAAGCGAAGTCCCGGAGAAGGGGCATTTGCACCCGCGGTTACGGCGTGTTACCCTCGGAATCAACACCCAAAGGGTAGGAGACTCAAGAATCTGACTGAAGGTGAAAGAAATGATTTGCATTGCGTTTGGCTGGAAGAGTCAGCTTGGCTTTGCGCTCTTCTTGCTTCGAAGCTTCGTCCGACTCGCTCTGTCGACCCACTGATTTCAGAGTCTTCCTGCTGTTAATAGTAACTTCAAAAACGACTAGAGAATCATCTGCAAGCACGGGGCATGCAGGGAAGGTTCCCAGCAATTCCATTGGAGCTCTTTGTTGACATTCTTTCTACGCGCATTCTACAATCGGTCGACCAGCCACGAGTGATGTTATCCGACACTACGTGTTACAATCACGAATGATAGCGATGAGAAACTCTTTAACCATTCCTCCCCGTCTTCTTCTGCCAGATCGTCTGCGCCTTTTCTTACCGCTTCTGGCCCGCCGATCTTTTCGACGTCGTCTGCACGCACACTTTCGTCCCCGAGGTCTGGTTCACGACCTACCCCCCCTCCCCGCCAGCCATCCCGGCCCCCCGGGAGCGCAACCCGGCGCCCCCAAAGCTCCTCGGCGCGGTCGTAGCCATCGGCTTCGTGGCCGGAGACCAAGCGCACCAGATCGCGCAACTGCCCGAGAAGGAGATCTTCGAGCGCTTCCTCGCGCAGCTCGACACCATGTTCGCGGCGCCCGAGCGTCATGCTGACGTCAGCAGCGACGCCAGCGGAAGCGGAGCCAAAGATGGGAACGGGAACGAGCTCAAGCTGCGCGTGCTCGAGTCGTGCTTCTTCGAGGCCGTCGGCGTGGCTGACGTTAGCCCGGACATACATCCCGCGACCGCGGCGTTCAGCGGGGGCCACATTGAAAACTGGGCAGACGAACCGTTCATCCGGGGAGCGTATTCACACCCCTCGGTGGGGGGACACTCAGCCCGGGGAGTGCTCTCGCAGCCGGTCCAGGGCCGGCTGTTTTTCGCGGGCGAGGCGACGCACCCAGGAGTGAACCCCTGCTTGCAGGCCGCGCTCGACACGGGGGCACGGGCGGCTTTCCAAATATGCGCGAGTCAAAAAGGCGTGACCAGTCGACTATAGTCGAGCGTTTTTTGCCGGATGTGTTGGCACGAGTCGGGATAGGTTACTTGGCGCAATTTGAGACGTCCCCGCCCGGTGCAGACGACCATTTCAAGAACTAAGATTTGTAGGCTACCTTCATAGGTGCAAAAGAGGCACCTTCATCTGGCAGGCCTTTAGGGCTTCTACTTCTACGTATATTTTGTCTCTTTAAACGATAAACTGGCCCCATGGTTCTGAGTGCCTGGGCTGTATAGGGCGAGAGCTGTGCATAAGCAGGAAAGTTGACGACCTTCAGACATTCATAAAGCTGGTCGGGATCAATACTTAGGCTCAATCCTTCTTGCCAGATTGGCGTGACAAATACTTATGCTCGATTCGAGGGCAGCTGCCGTGCTTGACATGTACGAGCAATGTCGTACATGTCATTATACACTCACAAGATCATGAACCCCGGATGATGTACTAGCTCAGTATGTTTATCCGGGGGCTGAACCTTCCACCTAGAGTTTCAGAACAAACCTCGTGATGTCTTCAACACGTCGATCTCGACACGCGCCGCTTTATTGTCAAGTACTGTGTCGACATCGTGGTATAGGATGGCACTTGCATGAGACGGACGTCTATGCAGTACCGCGATATCGGACCCACTGAACGTACGTGGACATAGCCTGGCCTGGCCTGCGCGCGAATGGTTCACGGCGACCACTACGCATGGGCTGGGCCGGGCCGCGCGCCGCGCTGACTCTTTGCGGAACTCAATATGATTTCATAGAAATGCATATTGCACACACACATGATCTCTTGCATCTACGATTCATATGCGTGCTATATATTAATCATTGGAGTATATAGATGCAGCCGAGTGCGACAAATTCACCCCGATAGCTGCAAATGGTTTTTGTTAACATGCGATATCGGCAGTCCCTCTAGGGCGAGCATGCATCTCATTTGGTGCCTGGTCGTTGCGCCCTCTAGCTCGACTATCCGGCCAATCGCGTCGAGCAAGTAAAAGAGTCGACGAGCATTGAACCCAAGCTTCTGCGGGCCGTTCCAACGGTTGAACAAAGATTGCAAGTTCTACTGCATGAGCCGCCTGTATGTGATGCTGATGACATGCCATGGCCTTTGATTTCGAACCTTGACAAAAAATTGAAGCGACGATCCTTTGTGACGGTCTGATTATCTTCTGTTGTGTTGTAGGTTGTAGCAGAAAGAGTATCGTGTAATGGGAAGCTTGAACATTTCACTCACTTAGAGATGAGAGTGATTATGCTTGCGGTTTATGTTCCATGTCACCTTTCTTTTGATGCAACTGGCTATATGCTTAGCTAACTTGAGTAGCTTGTTCATTTCAATGTTTGAGACAATGCTAGCTACTTTAGTCGGCTATGCTTGGTTTGATTAGCTTGTTTATTCTAAACAATGCTAGCTGAATAATGAATGTCGCACCAACATTCGCCGTCCTCGCATGCAAGATTTTTTCCCTCCTTGCTTTTGTTCTCATGTCACTGTATCACTCAAATCCTCTCGTTCCGCTCCCAATTGCCTGCTTACGTCCTTTCATGTGCAGAACACCAATCGCCCAGCTGACCTTCCGTTGTCCCGACGAAGAGGCAGGTTCCTGTCTTCGGTACCTGCCCCACAAAGAAAGCAGGCGGATCGTAGCATTTGTTTGCAAACATCTTGACAGACTCGAGCACTTGACGGTCCCAATACTTAGGTTGATCTTTATAGAAATCAGAAAATGTCAAGAGAGGGCCTAAGGTAAAACGTCTTGCTGCCTGTGAATACAAGAAATCGACTGTGCGTATCTCATTGAGGAGCCCTCAAAACACGCTTTCAGTTCTTTGGAACCAGCTCCTCTCAGCATGAACAAAGAAAGATCTGAATTTAAAACACCTCCCCACCAAACAACAGAAGCCTCTGTCTTGCAGCACGCTCAACCTTTAAACAAAGGCGTGAAACCAGCTGCTGATGGCAGCAGCGTTTCCCAGGAGCCGTCTTTGGATCCGTTTCCGGTCTCCTGGGATCCGCCGCTCCTCGAATGGAAACAGGACTACGAACCGGAACAAAGTCACAGAACAAGATCCCCGCCAAAGCTCACTCCCCTCGGGCGTGCTGTCCTCCAAAATGAGCATCTTCGAGCCCTTCTTGCTCATTATAGGAACATTGAAGTCTGAAATGTCAACATAACCCTCTGGTGCAAGGTCAGACTGAACAAGAACCTCCAAGAACCGAGCTCTGAACAACATTTCGCTGCGGCTGATGACAATCTGCTCGAGCAGCGGACACTTTTCCTGTAGCTCCGCAATTTGAGGCGCCAGTTCGCCAACAGATTTGCCCTGTGCATAGACGGGAACTGTGCGAAGCAGCAAGCGCTGCAGATTAGGACAGTGCTCTGCCAAGTTGGGAAGGAAGTGAGAATCCACCAGAGCTTCATCAAAAACGTCTATCTGCAAGGTCTGAAGGGCCTGCAAGCTAGGAAGAGAGCAGGAAGCAGAAGGGGAGAGTGCCAGGCTGCCGTCGAACTCGCAAGTAAGCTGTAGCGAGCGGAGAGCTGTGAGGAAAGACAGGCTCTTGAACACTTGTGAACAAGGCGGCAGCTTGAAGCTGGAAAGAACTAGGGTGGTGAGGCAGGTGTTCAGGTCATCCTTGTCTGTGAGCTGGTTCGTCGCCTCGCAAGGAGCGAACCAGTCTCCTCGCAGTTTCAGATTCTCGAGGTTGGGGAACACTTGGAGAATGCGCCTCATGTCTTTGTTCACGTCAAAGGCAAGCTCCGCCTTCCCTCCCGAGCTCAGGTCCAGGTCCAAGCTCTTCAAAGAGAGCCTCGAAGCAGGAAGGCGTTGAAGAAGCACGTCCAGGGTACCTTCAGCACGTGCCTGTACGCTGGTCCACTGCACCTGCGACAGAACTTCCGAAAGACAACTTACCACCTCTCCTCCAGTCAGTACCAAGCTGCACAGGCTTGGTCGCAAGCTGATCTCTTCCCTGAGCGCTTCGCAAAGCTGCTCTGCTCGAGGTCTCTTCCATGTTCTGGTCTCCACCCTTTGAAGCATGGGACCAAGCACCAGTGTTCTGCTGCATCGTCGTGCAGCCTCTCGAAAAGCTTTGTTTACCCCTCCCAGCCGCTTCAACGGAGTACACTTTGCAGCTTTTTCCACGATGTAGTCCACCAGCTCAGGATAGAGCACGTCAAAAGCGCTGGTTTGCCTCTTCGTCGGAGCTCCCTGCGCTCTGGCCGCCATGAGGTGTGCCTTCGGATGTATGTGCCAAGGAAAGTTGAGGCGTCTCTGGTTGATCTTTGCTTTTCTCCTTTCTACACGTTCTCCCCTGCGCGTCTTCTTCTGAGGTGGAGATGTGCGCCGTTTCTTTGAAGACGCTGAGAGTTTGTGAAAGTATGTTCCCGTTGCTGCCCCCTCTATACAGCTGGGAAGGAAGAATGTCGTCCTTGCTCCGTGGACTGCACCTGATGAGGTGGCGGAAGAGTGCTCAAGCTGACTGTGCTTGTCCGACCTTCGGGTGCTCAGTGATGTCAGTGTCAGGGAGCAGGCATGGCAGCGAGCAGGCAATCGATCTTCGATGGTTCCGATACTGCCGGCCGCGCGGCCGCTCCGACGACCGAGCCCGAAACCGCGGCCGCCCTGCGCGCACAAAAATCCTGAGGGTTCTGCTGATCCGGAGGATCCTGCGGCCGGCCGTTCATGTCAGGGTCCGACGGGGCAGCTCAAGAAGAAGCTCAAAGCCAGTCAAGTATCATTTGCTCGGACAGTAGGAACAGTGGCTTTTTGCTCATCAAAAGAAGGGCGTTAGCAGATTCAGAACGAACATATGGACCTCCTAGCCGCTGTTCAACCTCCAATGCGGGATAAGCACATATGCCCATGTGGCATATGACTGCAAGCAAGGCTCGGCGAAGCTCCCCACAGCACGAGGGTCTTTTCTAAGATTCTGAAGGGCGCGTAGACTGCGTGGACGTACTACAGGAAGGCGTCAGAGCTTTTGTACTGAGCCGTGTATTTGCATCCGCATGATGCTTGGCCGCGGGCCGTCAAACTCGACTCGAAGATGTAATGCTAGGCCGGGCACAACATCGCGTGCTTGAAAAAAGACCATCGCGTTTTAACAACGTACGTAGACTTGGACTCGGGTAGAAGGTCCTGGCGGTACGCAGCGTTGGTTATATGCCAACACCATATACAAAACTCGCAGCTACTTGTCCACAACATGCTAATAGCTAGCTATTTGGCCGGAACTTCTGCGCGCTGGCAAAGCCCTTCGATCGTTGGTGATCGATGCATGTATAAAACTGGATTCAGATTGTGCTTCGAAATCATTCCCGCATCGTTATCCGATTCGGTCGTAGGAGGTCATGTCGGCCAGGTGTCTGGACCGGCGCAAAATTCAGAACATTTATGGCCTATTATGCAACCAGAAACTAGTACCATCAATCAAGCCCACTGGTACCAGAGCCACTGGGGCCAATTGTACAATGTCGACCGAGCTCGATGAATCTGATGCACAGTTCACAAACAGATTGACGCACGATAGAGGCACAGACACGACCGAATACGCTTTCGCATGACAACATGTGCTTCTCAATTCGCACAACTTGATCATCAGAGAAGACTTTCTGCTTAACGCAAGGCCGGAACTGACTGAAGATCATACAGATTGTAAATTAGGTCTTCGTTTCTGCTCCACCAGATTTAGAGGAGGCACGTCTGCCCTCCAACCTGTTTCTCAATCTCTATCTTTCCAGAAACTTCTCAATTGCGACAGGTGCGAAAGCAGCTCGTGCCGGCCCGTCCCCGTGACGGAGCTCGTGAGGATTTTGGGAGGCAGCTCGTCCCACGTTTCCTTTAGCATGCTCTCAAAGTCGGCGATGTTTTCCGTCGGATGCTTCCCCCCCGCCTTTGTCTTCTTCCGCTTGTCGCACTTGGTGAAGACGAGAGACACAGGAACCTGCACGTTAAGAAGCTCGAAATTAGTCAAGAGTTGCGGGTTTTAGAAGTTCCCAAGATATTTCTGTCGCCAGAACAATTTGTTGCTTCTGCGAACAGCCAGGTATTCATTTCAAGAATACAGAAGGCGCATCGAACCCCTTCCAGAAGAAGGCGCGGCCCTCTTCAAACGATGTCTGAAATTCTGTGACTTACACGTTCTTGCTATCGAGCCCTAGAGGCAGTTTGAAGCGACGCTTAGATTTACTCCTAGTGGTCGCGGGCCCTTAGACGCATTTTCAAGGGGCACTCAAATACAGTCTCGGTGGTCGAGCATGATAAAGAGAGGTATCAGACCAGGAAAAGGGAGAGGAGCGGAAGGTTAGCGTGATGCAAACTTCCTCAAACTTGGTGCATTTTAGTCAGCCCCAGCCACTGTCCGTCCAGGCCAAAGATACGCCAAAAGTTCAGTGACAAGGATCGCAAGAGCCATGAAACGTAGAAGAAAGAAACCCTGACATAGACTTTTGTACGCTTTCCCTCTTACAGAGCGTTTTGACTTGTCGTCTTGCATTGTGACAACCGTACTGGCTTCGAAGTCTGCCTGTACGACAAACAGAACCTCTCTCGGCCCACTCCAAGTCGGACCCCGATCTTGCATCGAGCAGTCCGGACCTTCTTCCGTCAACAACATTCATTCTAAAATGCAATCTTTGCGGCAAGCCAGTCATCCGTCGCTCTGAAAATCAAGCATCTGTAATCGAGTTCAGCCCGCGTCCGGAAACAAAGACTGGCAAGCGTGTAATCTAAAATGGGTGCCCGACAATCCAGAATTACTACACGCCCCGAGAGCACTGTCCCGGTCCATACCTGATTTTCACCAAGCCACTCCGCACACTCGAGGTCGATCTCCTGAGGGGCGATGCTGGCGTCGATCAGGAGCAGAACGGTGACCAACTGCTTCCGGTTTAAAAAGTAGTCCTTGGTGAACTCGTTCCAGGCGGAGCGGGCCTTCCCGGGAGCGGCCGCATACCTGGCGCGAAAAGAAAAAAACGTTGACTTTAGAGCGCTAGATTTGACGGCTCGGGCTGGATGAGAGAACGGACTTGAGCTCGTTGCTTGGGTTGCGTTGCCGATCTGGCGCTAGAGGAGTTGAAACGAAACGTCACGGATTGTACAACGAGCCCAAACGAGTTCGAGACGAAGTGCAGACAAGGAACTCCGAAATGCAGAGGCCTGAAATCTGATTGCTTAAGTGGTTGTTTATAGGCAAATCTCTGGAACATGGAGGAGGAACCGCAATCCTTGTTAGCTTGGCAGCGTGACCTTGGACGAGCCACTTTGGCGGCAGTAGAATAGTGTGGAATCCGGAGGTCTGGAGAGAGGCTTAGGCTTCAAACTGATGCTTTTGAATGGCAATATTTGGGAGCTACTCCCACCAAGGCAAAATCCCCAAAAATGCGGCCCACATGTGCAGTCCCTCAGGCGGCCCTCGTCTGAATGTTCGCCGATGCATTAGAAATGATGGTCAAGGCAATACGTTTGTTTCACCCCAGAACCGGAGCATACTGGCTGAGCTAAAGGCAGAACTTGGCTGAGCGGGTTACGAGCACAGTCAAGCTGGTTAAAAGTACACTAATACGCATTGCTCTAACACACTATCAGACTGCTTAAGGAGTACACTTCGGGCTGCTTTTATGCCCGACCAGGAGAACACCTTCGGCTTCTCTTCGGTCTGGACGAACAGGGGCTGGGGGCTGACTAAATCGCAACAACTTTCAGGAAGTTTTCAACTACAGTGGGGTAAAGGTGTGCCCGGACTTGTTTGAGGGTGATACAAGGCTGCTTAAGAGGAAAGGCATCTGGTTAGATCCACGTATGAGCACAGCATGGCTGGTCAAAAGCTCCGCTTACCCATAACCCGGAAGATCGACCAGGTACCAATCGTCGTTGATCAAGAAGTGGTTGATTGTTTGCGTCTTGCCTGCACGACGAGTTTCTGTCAACTTCAGAGCTGGCTAAAGTTTCAAGACTGCTCTTAGAACTTTCTCCGTTGTAGAGAGTATCAGCTTTCAAGGGTCCTCTTAGGCGGACAGTACAATTTGGGGATAATCCAGGAAACACAGCGAATGCCCACGAGGCCAGAAGAAAACTGTGAGGCTTCGTAAAATTCCGATTGCCGCTGGCCCAAGCATTCTCCAACGGAAAAGAAGCAGCATAAATCCGTTTGTTGCTTCAATGGCCCAAGCGCAATGTACAAAGGCCAGAGAGATCCTCTCTATGGTGGCAGCGAAAGTATGTGACACAGATAGCAAGCAGAACCATGAAGAGGCAGATGCTTTTCAAGTTGGATACTGCTCAAAAATATCCTGTCTGTCTAGAACCACTTCGCTTGATAGCCTTTCAGTCTAGTCCGATAGGACCCCCTCATGCAATTTCATCGACAGCACTTGCAAACTCAATCTCACTTGGATTGCAAAAGATGTCAAACGGCGTTGCAAATTTGTGGCAATCACCTGGTTTCTTCGACGTCATTGCCAAGCTCTTTCTATTTGTGACCATGTTGATCAGCGACGACTTCCCCACATTGGACCGTCCAACCACCGCAAACTCGGGCTTGTCCGTATCAGGACACTTGGACACGTCCGTGCTGCTTATGATAAACTCTGCTGATCTCAGCTTCAAGGCATGCGGCTCATAATCCCCAACTTTCATCCCGTCTTCTCGCGGTCCTCTTTCCCCCAAAGGAACTCCAAAGATGTCCACTTCTGCTTCTTGTTTCCTGGCCTTTTTATCGGAGCTCGCTTGACGCTTGACATCTTCCCGAGCTATCAACCAAGGCGCTGGCTCCCGCTTTGGTGTCAAGGCATCATCCTTGTCTCTTGGGTTTGGTCGGGGGCCCGCTTGACCGGCAGGCTTGAAATTGGGTTTGGAAGACGGTTTGGAACTTGGTCTAGAAGAGGGTTTAGGGCGCGACGAGACAGCCGCTCTGACACCGCCTGGTGCAAACGACTTCTTCCTAGAGGTTTTGCCAGAGAAGGTTGAGAAGAAGGCGTGGTTAAGGGCAGGGTTAGTGTGTGGGTTCAAAGGGGAACATCTGGCGTCGGCCCAGAGCTGGACCTTCTCCAAAGCTAAACCGAGAGGCACAGGGTTTCTGATATGACCATGGTAGGACGCAATGCAGGAACGTCCCCCGTCTGCTCCTGTAAGCACCCGTTGCGCCGCGACGAGCGTCGCAGGAAAGCGGACGAGCCTGCTCAGAGCGCCAGAATTCCCCACCGCCTGCATTTTGACAGACCTTCGAGACGGCGGGCTTCTTCTTTTCAAGATGTGCTTGAGGAGGAAGCTTACAAGCTGCGAGGTCGGACTTTATAGAATAATGAGTGTGCTGTTCCTTTCAATCCGAGACTACTACCGGTACGGTAGCTGTATGGAGCGACTTCTCTTGATTGTCTTGAACATCGAGTCTGTGTTCGTGTGTGTGTGTGTGCGTGTTTCAACTTTCAGTTTCACTGTGTCCATTCAAGTCTCAAACTCACACCACTCTGCATGGTAATGGCTCTGTTCAACCATTACCGTACGCCGTGAGGCGCACTTCAAGGATCCAGAATTCAAAGCCGTCGATATTACTGTGCGCGAGCACTTTTCCGAATGTCAAGGGCTGCAAAACTTCTCATGCAATCTGTGGTAATTATAGGGATGGGGTAGCCGGCACTACATATTTACGATTTGCCTATGTTTTTGAAATGCTCGGGCTCATACCAATGACAAAGATTTCAAGAAAGCACCCGCCCTCCCAAAAAACTTTATCGTTATGTAGGCTCACGCTAATAGTAATAGCCTAGGTTCTCTTCCAGACCTCATGCCGCCGGAGCACTTCCATTGAATAGGAAATGCCGGGACCTGGCGCCGGCATTGAGAAAAGTAGAAATTGTGAGCCTTTCAGGATAGAGACTGCGCAACTGGCCGCAGCTACCTGCACGATTGGGGGTATCCAGTAATTATGAGCTACAAAGAATCTGGCAGCACCCCAACCAAAGCTCAGCGAGCTTGATATGCGTCGGGGAAGCATAGCTGAGGTCTCGATTTGATTCACCCACACCCTATGGTGACTCTGATTCCAAGTTGCAAAAATGGCTGAAACCAGCGGGCAAGGACAGGGCAGCTGGGGGGGTGCTCAAAATACTGAAAAACGGAGCACTCAGAACAATATGGAAAGAGGAGATAGGTACGACAGCGACAGCAGCTCCTCTTACGTCAGCACAGACGAAGAAGACGAGCGGGAGCAACGGCAAACATCGCAGCCGGGGCCCTCGGGGCGTAGCGGCTTAGCTCAGCATGACGTCACCTCAACAGGTGGCTCAGCTAGAACAGAAAGGGGGACCTCAGCAATGCGGTTTCGGGATGAAAGAAAGCGGGTTAGTGGTTTTGGGTTAGGGCAGAGTTTGCAGGGAACGAGCATGGGTTTTGCGGAGGGGTTAGCTAGAGATGAAGCGGTTGCATTCAGCTATCTGCAGAGCCTGGGGCCAATGAATCCACTTGTGCGCCCATCGCTGATTCAGCAGCAAGAAAAGCGAGGTGGGCTACAATGCTTGAACTTGCATGCTTTTCTCTCAAGCAGAATACGAGTTACCTTCATCAGCACTTCAGTTACTAAGAGGGGCAGGTAACAGGAGCAGCTTCAGCCATACTCATGAAACCTAGAGTATGCTTCAAACAAAGATTTCCAAACCAACAGGCACTGGACACTAGGATTACCGCTTAAGCTTATCTTGGACTGCACCACCAGTCTGCCTCGCTTGCATCGACACTGCAGATTACCTCATGTCAACTGTGGCATTCTGCTAAGGGTGTCAGCAGAAGTTCCGCCACGTTCTTGCTTTGCAGGGGAGCTCACCGTAGAATCGGTCCTGCGGCCAGTGCTTGCAGAGAGCGGCCTCCGCTTTACGGACCTCTTTCTGAACCCAAACACACAGACTGTAAGAAAGCCTCTTTGAGAAGCTTCTTCGCATCCATCAACACACTTTCATTTTTCGCAAAAATGAAATCGACCTATTCAAAAAAATGACTTCTGCTTCCTCACGAGCTTCGGTCACCAAATTTAGATGCTCTGATGCCATCTTGACCTTTGTTCGGTGTTGCTTCCAGTGTTTCAAACTGATTGACTCCCGCACTACCGATTGTGGATTCTCGGAAAAGGGAGACGTGCCGATGTGAACTCGACTTGCCACGCGAACTGTCTGTCACAGGATGTCATTCTTAAGCCACGACATCTCCTGTTGAGGAAACCTGCATGCCCTGATACAAAGGTCCGTATACTGCTCCGCTCGAACATTGCCGAATTTACCTTCTTGCGTGTATCGTGCAGGTCGAAGACATCGTCAGTCCGTGCTTCAACCTCTCCCTCATTCGTGCCCTCCATGTACCCATCACCGGTAGGAAGACATACCATTCTTGTGCACTCCCCTCCGCTTGACAATAGACATAGCAGCAAACTGATTCTAAAGAAGTCGAAGACTGCTGTCTTATCTCGGGGCATGTCCTTGTCTGATGTGCTGAATTCAAAAAGTTGCCGGCCGCTGCCAGCATAGATGTAGCAGACCGACGCAGTTTCTGTTTGGGCCAAGAGCGTAACAAACCGAGAAATCACTGAGTACAAAAGCACACCCGAGAACAATTTGACGAGGAACTTCCAAAAACATAGAGCTCAAACGAATGACTCGAGCAACCGCGAGCTAGGTCGTGAGACAAGTGGCACACGCATCTTAACGGGAACCCAGTCTTTGCTGCAGGGTTGGCCCGCCCGGTGCTTCGACGGACCGTACGCGTCTGCCTGTATGACGGGTCCCGATTTTTGGGAAACTTCGTGACGATGCCTTGTAAGACGCCAAAGAGGGACGTCGAGCCGTGGATCTTTTCAACGAAGGCAAGTTACTCAAAGCACACAGAGCTTCCGAAACTTTTGCTTAAATTAGGAAGGGAGAAGGGTTACGGGTCGTCAAAGCGCTTAGGGCCTCATTACAAATGGTCAGGATCGACAGAGCTTCTTCTCAGCGAGACATCAAACGGCTGGGACGTGGGTGACCGGGCGGGGCTCGTCGAATTATCTCAAGACCGTGTCTCACACGTCAGGTTTTGTCTGGCTGTTGCAAGTACATCTTCCGAACGTGAGCCAGCAAATATTCCGAGCGTTCTGATGTCTAGTCAAGCCGGGGTGCCCTCTTTCTCAACGCTTGGCGTCCTAGACGAAGCTCCGTGCAGTGAACGAACGAAGAACTGTCCATTGCAGCGAGCGCCTGCTATTTTACCTGGGAGCTTTCAGAGAACCGAAAAGGACATCGGGAACCTGGAACGACCTATGATTTCCAAGCTTGAACTGCTCGCTCTAGTGTGGCAAGCCAAAGCATATCAGCACAGGCTCGTCGCCCGAACAAGCACGTCAAGGGATCTCGAGACTGCTCTTACGTCAGCACGCATGCGATCACCCTCCTTGCTGACGTCCGCAGGCCGCGGGGAACCAGTGCCTGGTCCGGAGCAACGCCTGCCCGGGGGTGCTCACCGTGTACATCGAACTGAACGTCTGCTATGACGCCAGCGCCGAGGAGGCGACCGGGGCGTTGAACCGGGCGGGCTCGCGGACGGACCAGTCCCAGGTAGGAACTAGAGACCCTGCCAATGAATTTTGCCTCCTTACCAGGGAGGTATGTACGGATTTAGCAGGGGATGAGATATGTTAATCTGGTTCACACGGGGTTGACTGTCGGACATTGGACCGAGTTCAGAGTTGGTACGTCCCAGGCTTGACCTGTCCATGAGCATGTTGATCAAGGTTGAGCTGTGTCAAGGTATAAGGGAGGCGTCATTCGATGGCAACGAAACGAGCCGCTGAAGCCTGTACATATGCATGTTGAAGCATAGGAGACTTGACAAGAACGGCCTTCAGACGAAGTGTGATTCAATTGGGGTTTCAGCACCAAGAAAGTCAGCGTCCAGGTATTTGTTGCACCACAGCGCGCTTTCAAACGTGGCCGAACGCGTCTCCGAAAGCGAACTACGAGATAGCGCAGCTGAAGGGATTGCGTCGTGTCACGCGGCTCAGTGCAGTAGGATCACGTCTTTGTGAAAGGGTCGCAAATCAGGACTGTAGGGACCCCAAGCTATCTTTCTACTGCACGAGTATAGCACCCAAACCTGCCTAGAGGTCTTTCTTGGTTGCTGCTTCGCTTATCAATACTCGTGCTTCTCAGAGTCTAGCCTCCTGTTTCAGGTGGACGAAATCACGTGCGCGCACGCCACGTTTCAGTTTCCGAAGACTCCGAATGTCGGCAAGCAGTTGGCCGAGGACCGCGAGTTTGTGGTACCGCTGATGGGGGGATCTCTCTCAGCGCCGGTGGACCTGCAAGAGCTGGCGAAGCGCGGTGAGAGACCTTTTGCATTACGAAGTGGGTTCATGGGGTTCTGATTCGGGCTCTCGTTTTACCCCTTCCTTTCCTCGTGTGTGTAAGGCTTGATTTCCAAGAGCGATCGGGAAACCGTTGAAATCGGCAATTTGATCAGACTTATGCTCATTTTGAGCACTTTTCTCGCAATATTCTGCGGTGCATGTTCGCCGTGAATCGCAAGACTTGAATCGGAATCAGGTGCCTGCTTCTTTTTTATCTGGACCGCTCCCAGCCTTTGACATAAAGCAGTGTTCGTGTTACTTAGATCCAACTTCGTCCTTCTTAAGGGCTTTCAGCTGTCCTGATCCTCAAACCGTTATCCGATTCAATGGCGTCCTCCTCTCAAGGTTCTTTCTCTAAGCTAAGCAGGGAATAGCGATGACGAGCGGAAGTGCTTTGCCTTGACGCCTTCACGTTCTGGTTGTGTGTTTCCCAAAATTTTTAAAGATGGTGAGTCGAAACCCTGAAACCCTCTGCTGCAGAGGGGAGGAGCGCGTCGCTGTGGACGCGGCTCGCCGCGAAGCCGCCCAAGCCGACGCTGCGGCTGCGCATCTCGCGGCTCAGCCAAGCGGAGCTCCAGCAATCCAAGTGAGATTTGCTGAAGCAAAGTGAAACGGATTTTAAAGTGTCTGGAGGTTATTGCATCCGGAAACTGGTGGCGAAGACCACGGAACGGCGCGTCAATACATGGTTCGAGGACCCTATTCACTATAATCCTCAAGTGGACGGTCCAGAAAGGTCTTGACTCTTCTCTTCAACGTCCAACGTCAATCCTCTGGGGTTTTAGCCAAGGCGGCTCGCGAAGCTTGGCCGAACGTCCATGTTCTTCCTCCATCCGTTCTGACGTTGAATCGTGTCCTCTCCTGGTGTGCCGTCAGACCAGATATTTCGCAATCTTGTCGGAACCTGCTTTCTGACAGATTAATGGTCTCGACAAGGATTCCATCTCTTCTCGTGCCCATATAGCAATCCCAGATGGCAGCTTCAGATTCCTTCATTTGCGAACCTGCCCAGAACTCCAAAACCCACAAACCTTGCAGATCCCTTCCGAGTACCGTCCTCGCCACCCCCGCGCAGCTCCCATTTTTCACGATGCACCGGCAGCTCGCCGCGCGCCGCCTGCTCGCGCACACGCACTCCGTCGGCGCGCCCGCGGCCGCTCCCGCGCTCGCGCTCTTCCCGAAGCTCGCGGACGACCCGGCGCTCTTCGAGGCGCTGTTCGCGGTGTGGCAGAAGCGCGCGAGCTCCGTGACACGTGTCGAGCAGGCGCGGCCCGACGTGCAGCTGGTGCAGTTCCAGCGGTGCCTCCTGCAGCTGTGGCCGCTGACGCGGACGCGCGAGATACCGCCACGTGGCATGGCGAGTGACGCTATGGGGCAGGTAACCTTCTCCAAGATATCCATCTCCAAGGTATCACTGTCGATACAGTCTTGTTTCCGGGACTCCCATCGAGAATTTCTGCCCGTAAACGTACTCGTAGGCGGATCTTGACCGCCTGCAAGAGCTTTGCTTGAGCATTGTGGAGGATAGTGAAGAGAAACGTTCGTAAAAATATCTACCGTTAACATCTTGCTTCAGGCAATCGACCTCAGCAAGAATACTATGATTGCCTGTTTTGAAACTGTCAAATACAAAGAACCTGCAAAAACTTGTCTCCTTGATGGTTTCGGATACGTGCACCATCGCGTGCTTTTTCCATGCTGACAGTCGTTTCTTGCACCACCGGTTTCAAAGCGTGGGTCTGCAAAACGGCTTGCTGAATCCATACGGCTCCTTCTTTTGCCAGGACGCGCGCGCAGCGGTGATCCGGAAATACATACAAAGGCCAGTAGGGGAGAACCTGAGCAGCAGCCAGGCCCACTGGATGCACAAACCGTTCGACTCGAGAGAATTCGTGTACGATTGGCAGAGCGGAGTGAGTAGAGTCAGCTAAGCGCCGTCTAATGAATCATAGGCAGATTGGGTACGTTCAGCAGAGATTAGCAGGCTCAGGGCTATCATATTGCCGCCAGAGTGAATGCAAGATTTTCAAAGTTGTCACTACCAACAGCCAAACCCATTTTTCCTGACGAAGGTCTGCACCTCCAAAAGCATTATGTACTGAAGACGAGCGCAAGCCTAAGCAACGGACACAAACGGAATAGTGGTTGCTTGACTTGACCCCACCACGACAGCTCGTTGTTTAACCAAGGCTCGTTATGCGCTTCTGTGGTACATAGCAAGAAAGTGGGCGTGCAAAACGGGTTTGGAGTCTCCCTAGTTAGACGCAATGGACCCCGCATTAGACGCGGCTACATTGTTGCCAATGCGGACCATTGTCTTCTGAGAAGGGATTCTTTGATATGTTTTGGCTGCATTTCTTCCCTTACATGGTAAGGCCGCGAAGTAAGTACATGCCCGTCCGCACACGGAGAGACAATATTGAGATTGACCATGTACATACAGCCTGGAAGGCATCTTCAGATTTCGAACTTCGAATCAAGATCAATCAAAGATCAAGCTGAGCAACTTGACTGTTCTTTCGCACTTGATTTGTCCGCGCCGGCGGGCCGGTTTTTCGCACATGCTTTTGGTTATAAGCAACACTCACTAAGGCGCCAGCCAATTTATTTTTCGCTGGATGGTGAAGTTATTGAATCATATGTAGTTTCTATTCTGAAAGGTTATAAGGTCCAGGTCCGCATCTAAAAACTATCATAACAATTCATTGTCATCCGCGCTGCCTGTGCATCCAACATGCTTGTATTGTAAGGCAGCGGCACTTAAACACCGATGTCCTGTTTGTGGATCAAATCAACTACTTGAAAAATCATACTTAATTATTGTTCCAGCCCTAATTACCGTTCGATGCCTTCTACACGTACAAAAAAAAATCGAACTAAGCAGATCCAAATGTTGTCTCTCCCCTTAATTCCTCTTAAGGACAGACTTTCTCGCCACACCGTAACAACGACGCTGGCAGGCGGTCTCTTCTAGACTTGAAGATCCGGAACTATATTTACCCACCTAAGGCAGCCTGCAGTCACCTGTCTCACCCGAACACAAGCCGATGCGTCTCCCGCCTCAGCTGAATAACTAGACCCTACTTGACTTATTTTCTCCTCCAAATCGTTTCGCATATTCCTCATTTTGTCTCCTCAAGTTGTTCTCAAGATATTTGTTTCTTTCACGTATCTTTTTCTGGAAGTCTGGCTTCAGGGCAGCACACTCGGCGGCCCTCCTCAAATACCACGTCGACGTTACCCGCTGCAACTGGACGTGTTGCATGATAGCATCCACCGCGCCCGGTTCGGCGACAATCTGCTCAGCGTTGAGCAGGCACAGGGCCGCGAACAGACGGTCGGTGTGAGTTCGGGGTGTTGACCTTAGCGCGGTTAAAGCTTCGCAAAATTCCCCGAAGTCGCAGACACTGATACCCTTCCAAGCGTAGAGGTACTGTTCAAGCCCGCGAATCGTATAACAGGACGGCTTTTGCGCCGGCGCCTCCACATAGCGAGTCAGGAGCCTTTTCATGAACACAGGAGGAATCCAATCCCTGTCCTCTTGGTTCAGCTCTCCCACTGATGGGCCCAGTTTGCTTACAAACCACTCGGCCTCCTCACTGTCCTCCGCCATACCGCAACTCACAGCACACTCCATCAACCAGGTCAGGTAATCTGCACCCATCTCGTTCGTATCAGTTTCACTAGCTTTCAGTACTATGGTCAGGTCCCGATCCTTATCGTCCCGACGAGCCTTACCCAACAGCTTCTGTAAGATGCTTCTCCCTGCCGTTTCGAGGAATTATGCGTCGGACTGGATTACCTTTCTGCCAAACTTCGCAAGCGTCTTCTTGAAAAGCTCCTCGAGATCGAAGAGCCCCAGCTTCAGGAGCAGATCAAGCACCGCTAAGTGGGTCTCGTTCCCCAGGGAAGCTAAACCCCGCAAGAGCTGACCCAGTACGCATTCGTCGAACGACACCTCCCAAACACTGTCGCGCAGCCAGTCTCTGGCGCCCGTGAAGCGGCCCGAGGGGCAAAAGCTCTTCTCAGCAGCCTCAGTTATCTGCTCTATGAACTCGTTCACGAATAGTTCCACGTGTCTTCTTGTCACATGGTCTACGCCAACCGCAAGTGGCTTCAAAACTTCCAGAAAAGACATTCCATGAGGCACTTGGATCACCCGACGCGTTCCAAACATGCACCCTGAGATAACGAACTGCCTGCAACAGGAGGTGGGTAACCGGCTCAACTCCAAAGCTGCAGCGTAGAAGCAGTTCGTAACTAATGCAGATACACTTCCTTACAGCGCCCGTGGTTCCCTCTCAAGCAGACACGGAAATCTGGCGACGAAGTTCTTGTGCTTTGAAAAATGGACACCTACACTCAAGACCGCTGTTCACAGACTCTACCACTCTGATTTGGTATTCTTTGACGGAGACCTTGGGCCTATGTGTTGCTTTCTCATCTTCTATGCAGGCTCCCAACGCAACAGGTTTATCGCGTGAGACATCGTTGAAGAAAATTCAAATTGACAGTGGAATCAGGTCAAGCTGATGTAGACTGACCCTTGTATATCCTGAAAAATCACTTCATGAGGGATTTTGCCACACTCTTTTGCCCTCACATCTGTATAGCGCAAAAAATTACGTTCGTACCTCTCACATTTATCTGGGGCAAAAGACTAGGATCGTACTTCCTTCTTGAAATCCTGCGCTTGCATATAATCAGCCGCCGACCAACAAGGAGCAATGTTGGCTCGGGTGAAGCGGGGTGGAAGTGGTGGTTGGAGACTGAAGCTTGCAAATATTTCCATAACCTCGGCGCCTCTGCACACGCCCTCAAGAGACTAAATAACAGGATCTGGTTCTCCGCTGTTCCAGCCGGGTCTAAGAAAGAACTACGACTGCTGGGCCAAGTGCTGGTTCCTTGAAGCCGCCATTATGTTCTTGTTCGTTCAAAAAAAGAGCGTACCTGAATGTGAGAAGGATGAGTTTGGGAAAAGATAACGTCCAGAATCAGCAGGCAATCAAGATTCAAAGGAAGAGGTCAATCATCATGCAGTCCAAGATATCTGAAAGTGTATAAGGTCGCTATCTGCTGTGTTAGGAGCGCAGAAACCAAAAGCTGATCTTCAATCCAACTTTGCTGGTGGGATGTCTTGATCAAGGACCATCGCATCAGATGTGCATCAGGCTGCTGTTCAGTCCTGAAACACGGCAAATTCATGACATGTCTGCTACTTAGTTATGCGTAATAGCATTCCAGACGTTCAAAAGCTAATCAATCAAGATTCGACTTCTTGCAGGTGGTAAAACCTTGAAACAGCACAAGATAAGCAGGGGAGACCTTGCAGAAGCCGGTGGTGGCCTGCCCGTTGCGCGAGCACTTTAAAAGAGCTCAGATGAGAAGCCGAAGGAAAGTAGTCACCTCAATCATAACGGGTCAGTACATACGATTGACACACCTGCTTGAGCTCCGAGTAAGGGCCCAATTGCTGAACTTAATGGAGTTGACATGACCGTAAATCTTCACATCCAAGAAGTGTAGCTTGCTGGCTTCCTCAAGTTCCTTGTTTCCACGAAGGCTTGATGGCAACAGCTCCTAGAAACATCGTCTTACTCTCTTACGAGTTTAAACCCTTTTAACCTGATAATTTCTCAGACAATCTCAAAAATTGTCCGCGAGAATGCGTTTTTACGCGTTTCATGAAAGAACTTGAAGACCTAGCTCACAAAGATTTGCTGCAACCCAACTATGAAAAGTTACACCTCACTAAAGGAACTGTTATTGTCTGCTCCTCTTCGCAGATGATCCAACTCCACGTGCAACGGTAGCCTTTTCCTTCACGTCTCTCGTTGAAACCTTTGCAACGTGTAGCGAGCTTGCAGCAGATTACTAGAGAAAGGCCGTCTCAGGAGTCATCTACAAACAAGAATTAAATCTGTAAGCTTATCTCCCGCACGATAGTACAGAAGCGAAAGGACTAGCTTGTCTTCCAAAAAGCTGCGTGGCCACCAATGCCAGAATTTGAGCAGAGATGTCTTTTGGACTGGGAGCTCGAGCTCGCTGAAGTATAGCAGAAGCGGGAGCTTGAAGGAAACGCATGGCGTTTAGCCCTGCTCCTTAATTGGACCATAGAACCACGAGACTGTGATGTGACGATCCTAGTCACATCAAATTCAGCAAATTATGCGTGATCGCTATTGTAGCGGCTCCACGCGTACAACTCTTGACGTGACGCGGGAGAGTGACTTGGTCTGGCCAGTCGCCTGCTCGCGCATCGTTGTTACACGTGATGAGTGAGGCAACTTGAAACCTCAGTGGGCTCGCCCGCGAGCGCGTCTTCTCGTTATACCTCTGTCCATCTGCCATGCGGGTACTTGGGTAGATTATGCATATGTGTCCAGGGAGGCTTCTCCTGAATCATCTCAGGATTCAGGGCGAGACGGCGGAACATTGTCAACCAGCCGCCGTTGCAGAGCAAAGAATGAGTGGGCAATCTACAATCCGGTTGAAAATTGCTTTGATTTTTCCAGCCGTAGCACTTCGCCTGCGATACTAGCGGCTCATTGCAGAGGCTGCCTGCACCAAGCTTCAAAGGAAACACTGCCGCCGGGTTGATAAATTGACACTCAAATAGTCTTTCGGGCCGGCCTTCTGTGCGGCCTGTTCATCACCCGTTCATCACCTGTTCATCACGGTGGAATCATGCCCAACCAATATGTGAACTTCTACTCACCCGAGCTCTGATGGCGGCCCGGCTCAGGGTGCTCTTTTTGATTCAACGATCGGAAACGACATGTGATCTATAGGAGCATGTGAAGCACCATCGTTCAGCTTAGAACGCAGCATGCGATCGAAGGTACAAAGTGGTCGATTTATTGTGCAGGAACCATCACAGCACTGCATGGAAATCCGAAATTGTTTCGTGGGCCCCATGGCTGATTTCGTTGACTCAAGGCTTGAACTATCTATACATGGTATGTAATCATGGTAAAATATGCATGAGGTTTTCGGCTCGATCTCCTCTGTTGATTGGGTTGCTACGATCTCTATCAGGAACTAAGTGCAGACGTTGACATATCATCGACATATTAATGGGCCGAACACTTTATAAGTACGTTAGTTTGACCGTCCAGCCTCAATGCTCTGGACCGAGCTTGATCGACCCCACATGGCATGCTCAACATAACCTTCTAAAGAGCTACTACCTAAACGACGGTTACAAGTTCTTTCTAGCCTGTGTCATGCCACAACGCGTCGCTGCCATAACGCGTCGCTTGGCCAACCAGCATGAGACATGTGGAATGTCGTAACGTACTTAGATAAGTCAGTTAGCTTAAACCGACCGCAGTTAGCGCACCTAACCATAACCTCGCAGGCTGGTCACGGATTGGCTATGG